GGCGCCCCGACCGGGACTAGAACCCGGTGTGCCGGCTCCGCAAGGTGGAGGATTAGCCTAGTGAGCCGTGGCGCCGGCCTAGAACTCTTACTATCTACTAAGTACTAACAGAAATGGCTCCTGCCCTCACAAAAGCTAAGTCTCTACAATTCCTCTTTCCTCTTTGGCTATCAAACCAAGGAGATATTTTGAAAATCTGACATTAACAAAGAATATCTCAGTGTTTACTGCGTACAGTGTAGGCTGTTGTTCCACAACTCAAGCCCACATGAAGATGTGTCTCCTGGAGGGTGGAAACACATCACTTTCATTACTTAACACATCCTGCAGGCTGGAGGTGTTCTCATATCTACCTGTGCTCCATGTAGCAGCTCAGGGGCTCCACACACACTGTAACTGCACCGATGGTGAAGGAGGCCTTGACATTCGCATCTGGGTGGGTCTGCAGGGCCTGGACAACATCAATAACATCCGTGTAGCTGGGCGTGGGGGAGAAAAGGGACTGATTAGTGTAATGACTGGGGCTGCTGAGTGGGGGAAGCGGGAAGGCTAAATGAGCAAGGGTACAAGAAAAACCAAAGGAAGAGCCTGCAACCAGGTTTCTTGGTGTTATCCACAGCTCCTGGAATCCGAAGTGTTTCTGCATTCCCAGGTTCTCATAGTCCTACAATTATGCAAGAGTGGGTAGATGAGCCACCTCGCTCTGGGGATAAAGGGAAGCCTACAAGCAACCCTGGGGCCTACGGAGGGACTCAGCAGCCTTAGGCCTGTTTTCTAACCATTAAATCAGCAGTACCCCCTCTGGTCTTTCCTCTCCTTCCTACCTCAAAGAACATGCAAGTAAGAGAGAAAGGAGATCTCATCAGACTTGTCCAGTTCAAGCAGACACATGTCAAGAATTGCTTGCAGTTGTTGGAAATGCCTCCAGACTCCAGAGTTAGAGAGCCAATTTGTTATCTTCACTTAGATTTTTATCTGACTTCAGACTTAGCCAGTTTGTTACCTTCACTTAGAATCTTCTCTGATCCCACTCTAACTCCCTCACACCTGCTCCTTTCAAGTCTGTCCATTCTTAGCAGAGGGGACTCCATTCTTTAGATGCTAAAGCAAAACATTTCTTTGGAGTCTTCTTTGACTCCATTTTTTCCTTGGTCTTCAAAATATAAATTGAAGAGGCCAAACTCTCCTTCCCTCCCACCCCCAAGTCTAAACACAACCATCTCTTGCCCAGGCCCCCCAGCAGCCTCCCAGATGGCCCCCTGCTTCTATCCTTGCTTTGCACCATTCTGTTGTCAATACTTGAAGCCAGGGGGATATGCTAAGGCCATGGTCAGATCATGTCACTCCTCTGTTCAAACCCTCTACAGGCTTCCATCTCACTCAGCATGAAAGCCCAAGCATTTACAATGGCCCGGGCAGCCCTGTATGATTTGACCTCCCACAACGCAGGGAAGAATTTCATTTCCTATCATTCCACCACTTGCCCTAATCCAGCCACTCTGGCCCCTGGCTCTTCTCTGAACATGCCAAGCATACTTCTAACTTTGCACTCTCTGTCCCCTCTGCCTGGAATGCTCTTTGCCTCAGATACACCTGCATGGCTTGCTCCCTCTGTCCCTTCAGGTCTCAGCTAAACTGGCATCTCATGAGGGGCATCCTCTGACCACGTATGTCCTATGTGATATGGCAATCCCCCCTCATGACATTCTGGCCCTTCTCCCTATTTTTTGGCAAAGTGCTGAAAAATCAGCTAAATCAAAGGTCCTTTTTCATTTCTCTCTTTATTGTCTGCCTCCACAATAAGAATGTAAAGCAAGGGCTGTAATCTCTGGTGCCTAAAGTAGGGTAAAAGCAGGAACTCAATGTTCAGCCTGACAAGCCCTGGCCACTCCAAGAGTGGACCTGCCCTTTCTACCTTGTAGAGAACACTTTCCCATTTGACCCAGTGTATCACCATAAGGTCTTTTCCTACCTAAGGAAGTCAAACCTGATGGGCAGCCTTGCGGATCACCTGGGCCTGGGTCTGCCTGGGACCTTGGGAGACCAGTGCCAGGGTTGGGGAATAGATACAGCCTGCCTGAGCCATTTCCTGAGTTCCTACAAATAACTCATCTGTAAAAAGACTCTTGGCTGGTTCTCAGACTACAATATCCCCTCCTCCTGCAAGGTTGGCCTCTGTCCTGACCAATTAGCAGAGATTCCGTGGAGAACAGGGTTTTTGCTAGGTTTGAGAGTGCCTTCAGCACAAGCCCTGGGCTCACTGGTGCCCCCTCTCCACGGCTTCTCCCCCTGCCTTGGCATGTGGGTGCATGACTGTGTCAGGTTCTTTGCCACCACCGTGCCTGGGTGGGCCTAGATGCCAGGGGAGTGCTCCACACTGCTGGCATGGGCAGGCCTTCAGAACAGCCCACTAGGTAAGCAAGACTGCCACCTGCACACGCCCCAGAGCTCTTCCTGCCAGCATGTAACAGCCTTAACTCTTCTGGCTAAGTGCCCCAGGCTCACTCTGTAGCATTAGCTTCCCCTCTTCTGAAAATAAGCGTGTGGAAGCCTTTTATTTTCCAAGTTCAGTATAAATCACACAGACTCAACTCTCAGAGCAGGAAAGGAAGACTGAAAGATTTACAGACCAATCTTGACGACCTCAGTCATTGTATTCCAATAGGATTTCCCTCAGAGTGGGTGGCTAGGGAGTTCTGTTTATAGAGCATTCCATTAATCTCTGTTGACCTTAAGGGGAAAAGGTTAGAGTTAAAAAACAGACCCCAGGCTCCTTGGTGAGACCCAAGCATCTGGGCCCTGACCCAACAGAGGAGGCCCTTGGCTATTGCTCTACTCATTTAGGGAACCCCTGCTAGGACCGCCCTTTCCACCTGGCCCCTGCCCTGTAATCATCCTGGGTGTGTCTCCACAGAGGAGGCAGCTCTCCCCACAGAAGCAGAGAAGGAAGCCCCATGCTCAAGCTACCAGCTTGTATCAGACCACTTTGGCTAAACTGACCCTACTGTGTGATGAAGAAAAAACTGGCTCTTCATGTTTGCTTCCTTCTTGCCAGTATTTGCTTTATTAAAAATAAAAACAAACCCAAACCTAGCAGGACCTTAACTTTCTTTCCTCTGAAACAATTAAAACAACAGATATTCAAGTCCTCTCTGGACTATTACATGTTTGCAATCTAAGCCTGGATGCATGTTTTGTATTATTCAATTTATTTTGAGAGAGTCTTTATTTTTAATGTAGATAATTTCAAAGAATGATTTTGTAATATTCCAAAGTAGAAACAAAGCCTCCCAATTCCTTACAACTAACCTTCTCTGCAACTGTATCACCTCTGTAGGTTCCTACATGCACCACCAAAGTCAAGATGCTGACCAGTTCCACCACCACCAAGATTCCTGTGAAGCCTTTATACACATCCATCTCCCTCCTGACCCCCAGCCCCCAAGACTCTAACCCTTCCAACTACCAATCTCCCTCATTTTTAATACCTATTGTTTTAAAATTGTTTAAAAACAAGTAGCTCCAACACTCCCTATCGCTACACTAAGTCAAATGGAAACAGACCACTCCATGGATAAATAAAACTACTTAATGTCACATAAAAGCCATATTTAAAGAACAAAATTCTCAACTTGAGAAGCCTTTGGTATCTCCCTTACCAGCAACCCAGCAGTGGACATGAAGGTCCAGCTCCCAGGAGCTGGCTGTGCTACACAGAAGGCTGCTGTGTGCTCCCTGCGGAACCTCAGGAAAATGGGCCCAACCTGAAAGAACACTGCCCTAGTGAAGAGGCACAGCATCTAGCTGGTACTCTGGGAGGAGACTGGAGTCCTGCGGCTGTGATGGGTGAAGGCTGGGTCTGCAAGACACGAGGGGGCTGTTCAGACACTGTCACTGCAGTCCAGACGCAGCCAGGACAGCTGACACTTCTGCAGACTGAGACATGGATGTGATGCTCTCCAAGGTGACAGAGGGTGGCAATGACCTCAGCTACACACTATTGAGCTGCCAAATTCACTTTCAGTCTGCATCCCCAAGGACTCTTCTGGGGTCAGAGGGTGACGGAGCTGGGCCAGCACATTCCTTTGAGCAGTAGAATCGATGGAAAACCAGATAAAAACAAGTGGCTTCAAGTCATCCTTTTCCTCTGTGTTCCCATGACTGTAACCCACAAGAGGACAAACGGCTGACAGAAGGGAAGCTGGAGGCAGGGTGTGAGACCGCTTAGCTGCTGCATGAAGGCCTGGTGGGGGCGTGGCTCCCCTCACCTCCTTCCTCAGGACCACCGTTCTCAGCTTTCCTGCAGTTCCCAGCGTCACAGCTAGGGGCCTAAATAGGGCTTTGGATCTGGGTCCATCCTTTATTGGAAACAACTAGCCAAGAAACTAAGGAATAAAAATGTTACATGGCACAAAAGCACTTGGTGAGAACCGCCAACCATGGTGACACCGGTGAAAAGCACAGTTCACGTTTTCGGATCCAGCATATTCCCCCTGGACCCAGGTGGTAATGGGCCTGCAAGGGGCTCCTCCCTGGAAGGCTTTAGAACAGGTAAGGGAAACTCCTTTCAGTCAGAACAGCTGCACAAGCTGTCAGTCTTGCCCTCCCACACACACCTCCAAGATAATCCTGCTTAGACAGGGACATCACCAGTTAGCCTACAATCACTATCCTGCACACAGCCATGAAGAGGGTGCTCCTTATCCAACAGACTGTTCACATTCCTCAGGTCCCAGGAAACCCTCCTGGGCCAGTCTAGGAGCATGGTAGGGCTGGAGATCACAGAATTTAGGGGCCACCTCTGCAAATCCACAGGAGACAGGACTGAAACTGATGGAGCTCCATTACCCAGATGGTGAATGAAGAGGCACAGAGTCTACTATTGCTACAAGGATTATCAAAGAACCTGGTCCAAATTCTCTACTTGCCCACCTGTTGGAGACATGAGGATGTTGAAACCAAACTGAAAACTGTGTGCAAGCTACATTTGCCACTTCGGGCCACGCAACAGCAACAGGATCATTGCTAGGGTAAATAGACACTGTTCATGCCACATGGAATGTGTTCTGTGCCACAGGTTTGCTACACTTGAACTAAAGTAGTGGCAAGGTAACCATCCTGACTCGACTACCCCCAGATTTCCAGCGCTCACCCTTGTAATACCACCAGCAGCCTGGTCTTCTTGCGGATGTAAGCCGACTGGCGGGCAGAACGGTTCTGTTGGGCCTCCAGGGCACTGGAAAGGTATCTCTGGAAGTGGGCAGCATGGAAACACTCAGAGCTGTCCATGATCTGGCGGTACACCATCCACCTGGAGAGGGCAAAGGTAGTCTCAGCAAGGGGGCCACCTGAAGGCCTGGCCCCACAGGCTTGGCCCAGGACTCCAGTGTGGCCAGTGTTCCAAAGGTCTTACTGCCCAGTCAGTTTGTACAGGACAAAGTAATCCCGGCACCATAGGAAAAGGCAGAGGGCACTGGCTGAGTGCCCAGGGTCCTGGGAACACCATCATGGGGGCTCTTCTGGCAGGAAATCCCTTGACACGGGGAGAAAGGCCAGGTAAGCACCTGACCAACAACTTCAGAGGTAAGAAAGGCTCCTTCTGTCCCAGCAGCCACTTCCTGTAATAAAATGGCTTCAGTCTGTGGTCAATAAAATTCTTGTAAAGAGTTAAGCAATGGTGAAGAATTCAGAATGTTTATAGAACAAAAAGCACTGGACATGAGGAATTGGTTAGCCATTAAGTACTTACTAAACAAAGCCTAATATTTTCCTAGCATCAACCCACAATTTGCCCCTTACTCCCACAAGCTCCATCCCTACCCTCCCAAGCCTCCCAAGCCTCTAGGCAATTTTTGTCTTCTCAGTTCCTTGGTGGCCTCCTGCAGGATGCCTTCCTCTGTGGTACACTGACTGATTAGATATTAAATGCCTTGTTCCAACAGCAACAGCTGTTTAAAAATCTGCCAGTCAGGTGGAAGTGATGGATGAATGGTTTTCTCAATTTTACCTGAGCCAACACAATACTCTAGCTGTATCTGAATTTGTGCAGTCCCTTTGTGGTCATGGAAGGACCACTGTCTCTTCCACCCGCCAAGTTCTTATAACCACCACGACCCTAACTTTCCCTGCTGACCAGGCATACTGTTGGGCCTTTGTACTTGTTGGTCCTGCTCCTGCTAGAGTGCTCTGCCCCAGATATCCACATGCTTCATTCTCTTATTTCTTCAGGTCTTTGCTCACCTTCTCAGTGAGGTCTTCCCTGAGCATCCAATTCAAAACTAGAATCCCACTCCCTATCCTGCACTTTCTACATCCTTCTCTGCTTTACTCTCTCCACAGCACTTATCACCGGCTAAATCACTATGTTTTTCTTATCTGATGGTTTGTCTTCCTAAATTAGAATGTAAGTTCCATCAGAGATTTCCTTGTCTGTTTTACTTCTCACACTCAGAGCAATGCCCGGCATATAGGAAGCTCAGCACAGCGTGTTGTTAACTGAATGGATGGATGGTTATGGTGCTGGCACCAGGCACGCCAAAGATCAGTCCATGTCTGAGGTTTCCCAGTGCCAAGGCAATGCAGGCACAGAATCCCTTTCCCCAAAGCAAAGCCAGCAGCCATACTAACCTGCCATATTCCTTATGCAGAGTGACCAGAAAAGCACAGAGCTCATTAGCATGACAGCCCGGGAGGCCGGTTACAATGCTGATAATAACCTACATGAAAGAAAAGTCACATGGGTTTGCAATTCAACTGAGAGGCAGCATTGTGTAAGAGGGTGAGAGAACTTATTTCTGAAGCCAGGCTCTGTGGGTTTGAACCACTAGCTGTGACCATGGGTCAGTGACAGAGCCTACTTTATTTATTTATTTAAATTTATTTTATAAAGATTTATTTATTTATTTTAAAGTCAGAGTTACAGACATACAGGGAGATACAGAAAAACAGCGATCTTCCATCCATTGGTTCATTCCCCAGTCTGGGCCAGCGTGAAGCCAGGGAGTTTCTTCCAGGTCTCCCAAGTGGGTGGAGGGGCCCAAGGACTTGGGCCATCTTCTGCTGCTTTCCCAGGTGCATTAGCAAGGAGTGGGATCGTAAGTGGTGCAGCCGGGACATAACCTGGTGCCCGTATAGGATGCTTGCATCGCAGGCAGCAGTTTAACCTGTTACACTACAATGCTGGCTCCCAGAGTGTACTTTATAAGGTGGGTGTGAGGGTTAACAGGGTTAACACAGCTAAGGTGCTTGGAACAGTGCCTGACACTTAGCAAACACTATATAGAACGTGGTGTTACTTCTCTAATTTCCATGTAGGAGGTTGTAAATACATGGTTAAAATACAATGCATTTAATCAGCCTACTTGCTTGACATCACAAATCTCTTTTGTAAAGCAGACATTCAGGGATATTATGACTTATTTCCAACAATAACACTTCTTAGGAAAATACTGAGTAGAAAGGAGGTCTGGGATGAAAATGCCTTGGGCTACCCAGCACTGGGGATGTTTCTGCCTGGCTGCTCATGCCCTCCAAGATACACGGCCTGGGCTCAGTTGAAACTCACTGTGCACTGAAAGCTCTTCTGATTCTCCAGGAGAAGAGGAGCCAGCCGGCCTAGCCTTATTATGCGACCACACGAAACCAGGCTCCTCTTTGGAAGGTATTTCAAAGCAGGGTAAGAAATTCACTGAACAAGAAGGGGTGAAGCAGAGGAGGGCAGGGATCATGCAACCACTGAAGGACACAGCCCAGCAAGAGCCTCTGTGGTTTGCGCAATTCACAGGCACAGTCACAGGCAGCACTGGTCGCCTGAGCTGATCACATCAGCACAGACAGCTGTGGATCCTGCTTCTTCTGCGGGAACCAGCGGCTCTCCCTCCTTCCCTCTGACCTCGGTCTCTGTGCTGCATCCCTCCCTGTGCCCTGGGGCACTACCCACTAACAGACGTTTGTTTCTCCTCCTCACACCTAGCTTTCCCCACCGTGGTTCTTAGTCCTCAGTGTCCTGGTCTCAGCCCCGCAGATCACAGCACGTGCACACAGTCAGGGGCTCTCTTATTCAGGACAGTCCTGTGCCATCTCTTCAGTAACATATAACAAGCAGGTATCTCAGGCTTGTTATACTCTTGCCTAAGGGAACAATGATGTTTCTAATTGCTCAGGGCTTCTTTTCCTCTCTTTTGATATTTTTTTAAGATTTTAAAATTTTATTTGAGGCCGGCGCTGCGGCTCACTTGGCTAATCCTCCGCCTGTGGCACCGGCACCCCGGGTTCTAGTCCCGGTCGGGGTACCGGATTCTGTGCTGGTTGCCCCTCTTCCAGGCCAGCTCTCTGCTGTGGCCCGGGAGTTCAGTGGAGGATGGCCCAAGTGCTTGGGCCCTGCACCCACATGGGAGACCAGGAGGAAGCACCTGGCTCCTGGCTTCGGATCAGCGCAGCGCGCCAGCTGTGGCAGCCATTTGGGGGGTGAACCAACGGAAAAGGAAGATCTTTCTCTCTGTCTCTCTAACTCTGCCTGTCCAAAAAAAAAAAAAAAATTATTTGAAAAGTCAGAGAGAAAGAGAAGGAGAGACAGAGAGTTAAAGATCATCCACTCACTGGTTCACTCTCCAGATGGCTACAACAGCCAAGGCTAAGCCAGGCCCAAGCCAGGAGTTTTTTTCTTGGTCTCGTACATGGGTGGCAAGGGCCCAAACCCTTGGGCCATCCTCCGCTGCTTTCCCAAGCCATCAGCAGGGAGTTATATTTGCAGTAGAGCAGCTAGGACTACAACCAGGACCCATTCGGGGATGCCGATGTTGCAGGCAGTGCCTTTATCGGCTATACCACAATGCCTAGGCCCTCTTTTCCCTCTCATAACTGAGTGTCACCTAGATTTGCACAGAAATAAATGCCTTCTTTCCGTCTATTATGGCATATGGCTCTGAAGGAATAGTGGGGTGGGGGTCAAGAAGAGGGAAGCATGAAGTGGGAGTGGATTAAAATTCTCTCTGTGGGGGAGGGGGTGGCTGTGTGGCCTAGCAGGTTAAACCACCCACATCCCATACCGAAGTGCTGCCGTTTTGAGTCTTGGCTACTCCACTTATGATCCATCTTTCTGTTAATGAGCCTGGAAAACGGTAGATGATGGCCCACATACTTGGGTCCCTGCCTCTCATGCAGGAGACCTACATGGAGTTCCTGGCTCCTGGCTTTGGCCTTACCCTGCCCTGTCTGTTGTGGCCTTTTGAGGAGTGAACCAGTGTACAGACAATCTCTCTCTGTTGCTCTGCTTTTTAAATAAATCCTTAAAAATATTTGCTCTTGGGAAGACAATATTTATAAAGTATCACCTTACCCCAGTGATCCCAGGAGGGCTCAGTGACACGGGTACCATTGCCCTTGTTAAGCACAATGTATCAAGCTCTGCCAGTAATGTCCTTGTCACAAACAGAAAGAGCTGGTGGCACAAGAACACTGAGCACGAGTTTAAAAGATCTGGAGAAGCAAGATACCACGGCTTTGCCTCTGTCACGGATTTGGCCTGACAGTCATTGTGTAACATGGGTTTCATGTTTTATTGTGACATCAGATCCAAGGAGGTGGAGAGTCATAGACTAGACTCCACCCGAGCTCTTTGTGTTAGCTGACACAAAGATCCAAGGGCAGGCTCTCAGGATTTCCTCCCTATGAGTGGCAGTGTATCTGATGGGTTCCTCTACCTTGTCACTCTCTGCTTTGTGAGCAGGGCTGACTTCAGCTTTCTGCAGCAGGACTGGAAGATGGCTCCGCATCACGGGCTCCCGACTAATGCTGCTGATCGCAAAATGCTGCAGAAACCTAGAAAACCAAGACAAAGCTATTGTGTTATCACCCCCAGTCTTGCCTGAATGTCCCATTCACATAAAAAACTTCTTTACCGCTGAAAAATAAATTTTAGAGAGATCTTCCCTAGAGAGCAATGTGCATGGTGTGTCACTACCATCTTTTACAACAATCCCCAGGCAGCTCAAAGGAAAATAACTCAGAAAAGACCAACATGGAAGTTTCTGACATTTCAAAAGCCAGAACATTAAATATCTAAAATCAGACAACCAACGCTCACCAGTCCAGCTCTGGGAGTTTGGCTGAGAGTAGCTTTAGAGAACTCCGCTTCTCCCCAGCAGGATGGCTCAGGACACCGAAGAGCTTCTGTGCACTGCAGTGTCTGGAACACCAAAGGCTCACCGATTAGAACTCTGTCTGCCTAGGCAGGCACACCTTACACAGCCTGTCCTGATGCTTCCAGGCTGGAGTCTCGTGACAGAGTGTACTCTTCCAAAACAAGCATCTCACTGACTTACAACAAAATGCAGCATTAGTGCATGATGCCAACAGGACGGCTGGCCTGAAAACACTTGACAGTCCTGTGAGCTTCTGAGTACTGGAGGCTTTTCTCTCTCGTCTTCTATTTCCCCCCAGGGCCCTAGCTACCTGCAAGCTGGCAGCACTGCAATGACTGTGTTGGCTCTTTCAGAAGCCAAGACCCCTGTGTTACATAACACGAGTCATCCTGCAGCGAGCACACCCACAAAGCTGGGGGAAGCAAGCACACTCAAGGCAGTCACTTACATTCTCTTTTGTTCCACAGATAATCCATCTTCCTGGATCACTTTTAAAGAGAGCCCTGAGTTATCCTGCTGTTGCCAGGGGGAGAAGACCTAAACAAAACAATTTGAGCAAAGAACACTTTAAACTCAACAACAGGATATGGAACCCACATGGGGATTTGATGGCTGTTGGAAATCTAGACTATTAGTGCAGAGAAAAACCACTGTAGCAAACAAGCCTGCTTCAAAAGTGGAGGCCTGAAGCAATTTTGCTCTGTATTTTCCAAAATCAGAACGCCTCTCTGGGCTCCTCTCCCCAGAGACTCTGCTCCTTCCGAGGTCAGGAGTGTGGAGGATGGTGTCGCTGCTGGGTAGCACTGCTCTGGCAGCAGGGACATGTACCCCTTCTCTAGCCACAAGGCCAGCCAGACAGGAATGCTTCAAGCAAATCCTGCCCAAAGGCAGAGGGATGGCTGAAGAGAAAGGGGCTGTCTTGAGGTTCCCAGATTCAAAGGACAAGCACAGGAAGCAGGAAGGGCTGGGAAGCCACTCTGCAGTCAAGGTCAGCTCAACTTCTCAGTGCTCCGAGTCTGTGCTAAGGAAGGGACACTGCCCCCTTACAAGCTGCTCTAGTCCTACCCTTCCACAAATGCCCACCAGTCATGAAGCTGGCCATCAGCTTGGCTCGGCTACTGCTTGGCCTCTCGGAGTGAGTCATAAATTTCCTGGTAAGCCCCCTCTCATGCAAGCTGTGTTGAGCAGCTAATTTAATGTGCTGCTAACTGGGTGGGAACATTTGCAGGGACAAGGACTGAGAACCAAGGCACAGCATGGGGTGGAGTAGAGAGTTCTAATCCAGGACACAGAGCCCAACAATTCAATAAAGGAGCTACAATGGAAATACGTCTAATTTAAAGGGGACAGGAGACTTTTTCTTACAGGTTTTTTAGGCTTTTGCTGAGTTTCTTTAGGCTCTCACCTCTCTTTGGCAAGAGCACCATTCTAAAACCCAAAGAGATCAGAAGTAGTCACTCCCACCAGCAGCCCTGCTCCCCTCACTGCCAGCCCTGATTACTGCCTTACCATCTAAACTGCTGGGGGGAAGCAGTTGTTTTGCTGAGTAATAATTGATATTACCTCCGAGTAAAATGCTTGGTATATCTTTGATTTGGGGAAAAGGGTAATCATCAGGAAATTGTGTGATCCATGAAAATAAACTGGGAGATGAGGAAGCAGTGAGCTTTTGAAGTCTATGAGAAGGGCAGCAACGACACTGGTAGAATCCTGAGGAGAGAAAGAGGGAGCATCAGCAAAGCCATCTGCATGCTTGCACCCTCCCCAAGTACACAGGATCCACTTCGGTGCAGCTAACTTCACATCGTGTGGTTTGCTCAGCTTCTGTAACAGATGCACTTTCTCATACCTCGTTACTAGAGATATGGGAAATACAAGGACTTTCTTCCTAAATGGAAAGCTTCATCCCAAAATTCCTTCTAGGGTATTAACCCCTTATCAGATATATGCTTTACAAATATTTTCTTCCACTCTGTTTATTTCTCACACTCTCTTTAAAAAATTAATTAATTTATTTGAATGTCAGAATTATATATAGAGATATTCCATCCACTGGTTCATTCTCCAGATGGCCACAACAACCAGGGCTGGGCCAGGCTGGGGCCAGGCTGAGGCCAGGAGCCAGGAGCTTCTTCCAGGTCTCCCACATTGGTGGCAGGGGCCCAAGAAGTTGGGCCATCACCCACTGATTTTTGCAGGCCACCAGCAGGGAGCTGGATCAGAAACGGAGCAGCCAGGACTCAAACCAATGTCCATATGGGATGCTGGGTTCACGCCCCATTGTAGGTAGCGGCTTAGCTGCTACCCCACAACGCTGACCCCTCTCCCACACTCTATAAGTGCCCTTTGATGCCTGAAAGTTTTTAACTTTCCAATTTATGTATTTTTTTCTTTTGCTGTCTATGCTTCTGGTGTCACATCGAAAAAATCATTGCTGAGTCCAATGTCATGAACATCTTCTAAGTTTTCTTCTTAGAGTCTATTTTTACAGTTAGGTTTCTGACCCATTTTAAATGAATTTTTGTATTCAGCATAAGGTAAGCTATTCAGCATAAGGTAAGCATCCAATATCATTTTTTTTTTCTTTTTTGGTTTGTATGTATCCAGTTTTCCCAGAATCACTTGTTGAAAGGACTCTTTTCCTCTCTGAATAAGGTTTTGGCATCTTTGATGAAAATCATTTGACCATATATGCAAGGTGGTTTTTTTGTTTGTTTGTTTAACATTTATTTATTTATTTGAGAGGCAGAGTTGCGGACAGAGAAAGGGAAAGACAGAGAGAGGTCTTCCACCCACTGGTTTACTCCTAAAATGGCTGCAACGGCTGCAGCTGGGCTGATCTGAAGTCAGGAGCCAGAAGCTTCTTCCTGGTCTCCCATGTGGGTAAAGGGGCCCAAGGACTTGGGCCATCTTTCACTGCTTTCCCAGGCCACTAGCAGAGAGCTGAGTTGGAAGAGGAGCATCCAAGACACAAACTGGCGCCCATATGGGATGCTGGTGCTGCATGTGGAGGCTTAACCTACCACATCACAGTGCCTGCCCCATATCCAAGGGTTTATTTCTGCTCTCTCCACTCTAGTCTAGTGATCTGTATGTCTGACCTTATGTCAGTACCACACTATTAGGTCACTGAAACTTTGGAGTAAGTTTAGAAATCAGCGAGTGTGCATCCTCCAACTTTATTTTCCTTTTTAAAAACTGTTTTGGCTGATTGGAGTTCCTTGAAATTCCACATGAATTTTAGGATTGGTTTTCCTACTTCTGCAAAAAATGCCACTGGGGGTACTGGCACTGTGTCGTAGCAGATTAAAGCCCTGGCCTGAAGTGCCGGCATCCCATATGGGTGCCGGTTCTAGTCCTGGCTGCTCCTCTCCTGATCCAGTTCTCTGCTATGGCCTGGGAAAGCAATAGAAGATGGTCCAAGTCCTTGGGCCCCTGCACCCACATGGGAGACCCAGAGGAAGCTCCTGGCTCCTGGCTTCGGATCGGCACAGCTCCGACCATTGCAGCCATCTCGGGGAGTGAACCAGTGGATGGAAGACCTCTTTCTCTGTCTCTACCTCTCTCTGTAACTCTGTATTTCAAATAAATATAATAAATCTTAAAAAAAAAGCCATTGGGATTTTGACATAAATTGCAGGGAAATCTAAAGACTGCTTTAGAATTTTTGGGCAGTATTTCTTTTGATCTATCAATATTAATGTCTTTCTATATATAGGTTGCCTCTACTTTTTCAGTAATGTTTTATAGTTTTCAGTGTACACATCTTTCACCTTCTTGGTTACATTTATTTTTAAGTATCTTACTACTTTTTAAAAGATTTATTTGAGGGGCCGGTGCTGTGGCACAGTGGGTTAAAGCCCTGGCCTAAGGCGCTGGCATCCCAAGTGGGCACCGGTTCTAGTCCCGGCTGCTCCTCTTCCGATCCAGCTCTCTACTATGGCCTGGGAAAGCAGTGGAAGATGGCCCAAGTCCTTGGGCCCCTGCACCTGTGTGGGAGACCCGGAAGAGGCTCCTGGCTCCTGGCTTTGGATCAGCGTGGCTCCGGCCATTGGGGCCATCTGGGGAGTGGACCAGCAGATTGAACACCTCTCTCTCTGACTCTACCTCTCTCTGTAACTCTTTCAAATAAAATCTTTAAAAAAAAAAATCTTTAAAAAAAGATTTATTTGAAACACAGAGGTATATAAAGAGAGAGAAACAGAGAGAGAGAGAGAGAGAGAGAGAGAGAGATCTTCCATCTGCTGGTTCACTCCTCAAATGGCCACCACAGCCAGGGCTGGGCCAGGTTGAAGCCAAGAGCCCGGTAATCCATCTGGGTCTCCCACATGGTTAGCAGGGACCCAAGCACATGGGCAGTCCTCTACTGCTCTCCCAGTCACATTAGCAGAGAGCTGGATCAGAAACGGAGCAGCCAGGACTCAAACCAGTGCTTATATGGAATACCAGCATCACAGGTGGTAGCTCAACCCACGGCACCACAATGCTGGCCCCTGGCATCTTTTTTAAAGATTTATTTATTTGAAAGGCAGAGTTGAGAGAGAGAGAGAGAGAGAGAGAGAGAGAGAGAGAATGAGAATATCTCTTAGCTAGGGGTTCACGCCCCAGATGTCCACAATCATTGACGCTGGGCCATGACCAAAACTAGGAACTCAATTCAGATTTCCCACTTGGGTGTCCATTACCCAATTATTTGAGCCATTCTATTGCTCCCCTGGGTCTGTGTTAACAGGAAGCTAGAAGTTAGGAGTTGGAGACAGGTATCAAACCCAGGCATTCTGATAAGCGACATGGGCATCCTAACCGCTAGGCCTAATGCCTGCCCTTGCCTTTTACTTTTGAAACAGTTTTTAGAGTTATACAATACTAAGTAGTTTGATAAATTCCATGAAATAACCATATGGGGCTGGAATTGTGGCATAACAGGTTAAGCCACTGCCTGCGATGTCGGAATCCCATATGATGCCAGTTCGAGTATCAGCTGCTCCACTTTCTATCCAGCTCCCTGCTAATGCACCTGGGAAAGCAGCAGAAGATGGCCCAACTCCTTGGACTCCTGTCACCATGTGGGAGATGGGTTTCCAGGCTCCTAGCTTCAGTGTGGCCCAGCCCTGGCTGTTGCTATCATTTGGAAAGTGAACCAGCAGATGGAAGATCTGTGTGTGTGTAACTCTTTCAAATAAATATTTTTTTAAAATCCATACAATGGAATACACTTAGCAATAAAAAGGAACCAACTATTGAGCTACACAGTAACACAGTTGGTTCTACAAGTCATCATGCTGAGTGGAAAATGTCAGACTCAAAGGGTATGAAATATAGATGTTCATTATATAACATTGTAGACAAGGCAAACTGATCCACAATGACAAAAAGCTAGTCAGTGGTGGTCTGAAGCCATGAGTGGGAAGAATGATGATGGGCAACAGGGCATGAGGAACGTTTTTGGGGTGAAGAAACTCATCTATCTTGATTGTGATAGTAGTTTCATGAATATATACAACTGTTCATGTTTTAAATAGACATAATTAATTGTATTTGAAATATATTATCAGCAAAAAACATAAAGAATCATCATTAGGTGAGGGTGGGTGTTGCAGCACAGGTTAAGCCACTGCTTGGGACACCCATATGCCACATCAGAGCACCGGTTTGAGTTCCAGCTCCTTCACTTCTGATCCAGTTGCCTGCTAATATACCTGGGAAGGCAGTGAATGATGGCCCATGTACTTGGGCCCCTGCCACCCTCGTGAGACCTGGAAGAAGCTCCTGGCTCCTGGCTCCTGGCTCCAGTCTGGCTCAGTCCTGGCTGTTACACATTTGGGGAGTGAATCTGCAGAAGGAAGATCTCTTTCCCTCTCTTTCTCTATCACTCTGCCTTTCAAATAAATAAATCTTAAAAAAAATAAATAAATAAAAAATAAAAAAAACACCCATATCATTAAGTGGTCAAATCTGACAAACTTTTACTTACAGAATTTCTAGTACTGTTTCTAAGCTTAGAAACTCTTCTTGCCCCTAAAGGATTAATAGTCATTTTTAATTTTTAAACTCATTTTTAAAAGTATTTATTTATTTGAAAGGCAGAGACAGAGACATAAAGAGATCTTCCATCCACTAATTCACTCCCCAAATAGCTCCAATAGCTGGGGCTGGGCCAAGCCTAAGCCAGGAGCCAGGAACTTAAATCTGGGTCTCCTATGGGGGTAGCAGGGACCCAGCTACTCAAGCAATCACCTGCACCTCCCAGGATATGTATTAGCAGGAAGCTGGAATTGGAAGCAGAGCCAGGACTCGAACCCAGGTACTCAGATATGGGATGCAGGCATCCCAAGCGGCATCAGAACTGCTGCGCCAAATGTCCACCCCAATATTCATTTTTATATTATTCATTCTACTTGTGGAAATTTGAAAACATTTAGTTTTAATCTATCAGAAATTTATTTTGATTTTTGGTAGGGGGTAAGAATCAATTTATCCCTCAAATTGGCTAACTGATCATCCAGCATGCTGAAGACTAACCTAATACTAAAGCTGCCGGGTAGGTCTGCCTGCAGTTCCGCAGTCTTTAAGGCAGCACGCTCCATGTGGAAGAGACTTGCTCAGAGAATTCATATTCTGAGCTATCTGACCAATCCCCCTCATCCAGTCTCTCTTGGCTCCCAGAGTCTGGCTTCGAGCCTTTGACCAGGCCAAGTGGAGAGGCCAAGTGTCACCCGAGAGGCTGTTCCCTGGCCAGTGGAACAGGCTGGGGGAAACTCACAGGTAGTCTTTCCCCTCTAAGGAGAAGCATTGGTATAGACTGGTGAACACAAAGAATGCTTCCGGGGGGGCTGGAACTTTCATAGTGCTGACGCTAAGTCAGAGTGCAAGAGGGAAGGAGGGCAAAGCTCTCAGGGGAAGTTACTCTCCCTCTTTGGCCCATGATGAGGGGCAAGTGGAGCCTTGTCCATGCCACAGCATGCAGCTTCTTCCAGTTTTCAAATGGGTGAACTTCAGTGTCCCTGGGCTGGAGGCCATTTATGAGGTGCCACTGGAGGCTTTCTTTAGCCTTCTTTCTGGTCTTCTTCAGGAAGACTGAATTGGACATGGAAAGCTGTTGGCCCTTCTGACACACAGCCCGTAAAAGAGCAGTGAGGTGGAGGAGGCTTGCAAGAGCTCTCCAAGTGCCTGGGCCTGTCACTGACCCTCCAGCCTGCCATCCCAGTGGCCGTGCTGGTTCCTGACATCCCACTCCATGCAGGAGGGGAGATGAGGTGTTATTGGCTTTCCCCTCACAACGGACAGTATCTTTCTTACCATCGAAACCATGGGCTGGTCAAACACCTACCCCATCATAGAAGGAAATGGAATTCATATGATCCTTGGAGATGATGATATTTCCATGATGACGATGAGAAAACAGAAGGCCACCAGTGAAGAAATGCACTTTCCCTGGAAGGAAAAGAGAGCTGGTCAGAGGTGCAGGGCAGGTACACAGGAAGGGCCACAAGAGACCTGTACCAACAGCACTTCCATCACAGAATTTGTATGTTGAGTTCTGTGCTGCAGGGAAGCCAAAGAGACCTCTCAGAGCCTTTGTGAGAAGTGAGGTATCAGACGCAGCAGATAAAATTATTAGCCAATAGAGAAAGGCAAAATTCACATTCTCTTGCCACTGTGTACCAGGGAAACATGCTAAAAAAGACATGGGTGTGTTTGCTCCAGCTAGTTTATAGACTCTTGGTTCTCCTGCTTTCGCAGGAGCTGGCTCAGTCCTGAAGATATAACATCCTTCACTGAGGGCCAGAGGAGCACTAGGGTCTCAGCAGAAGGACTGGTGAAGTGAGCCCAAGGGTCCTGGTGCCCAGAAAGAATCGCCCAGGCCACATTCTGGCCTCACTCTTCCTCAATGAAGTTACCCCTGGGATTCTTCACCTTCTAAAACCTTCAGCACCGGGGCCAGCACTGCGGTGCAGCGTGTTAAGAAGCGCCAGCATCCCATATGGGCGCCGGTTCTAGTCCTAGTTGCTCCTCTTCCAATCCAGCTCTCTGCTATGGCCTGGGAAAGCAGTAGAAGATGGTCCAAGTCCTTGGGCCCCTGTACCCGCATGGGAGACCCAGAAAAAGCTCCTGGCTTCGGATTGGCGCAGCTCCAACCATTGTGGCCATCTGGGGAGTGAACCAGCAGATGGAAGACCTCTCTCTCTGTCTCTACCTCTCTCTGTAACTCTTTCAAATAAATAAAATAAATCTTTAAAAAAAAATAAAACCTCGGGCCCGGTGCCGTGGTTCACTTGGTTAATCTTCCACCTGCGGCGCCAGCATCCCATATGGGCACCGGGTTCTAGTCCCGGTCGCTCCTCTTCCAGTCCAGCTCTCTGCTGTGGCCCGGGAGGGCAGTGGAGGATGGCTCATGTGCTTGGGCCCTGCACCCGCATGGGAGACCAGGAGAAAGCACCTGGCTCCTGGCTTCGGATTGGCACAGCACTGGCCATAGTGGCCATTTGGGGGTGAACCCACGGAAGGAAGACCTTTCTCTCTGTCTCTCTCTCTGTAACTCTACCTGCCACATAAATAAATAAATAAATAAATAAATAAAACTTCTAGCACCAGAATTTACTCTGTGATTCCAGCATCCCATCCTTTTAGCTCTCTCACTCCCAGTACCCCACTGCACTGCCCAGTGACCCTCCTACTGCTATGTCTCACCTCATACCACCAACCCCCTCAGAACTCATTAGGGACCTCAACACTCTTAAAACCACAACCTCATCAACTCATCAACTTCTGACACAAGATGACCGTAACTACTGTTTCCTGAGAAAAGAGGGCCCTACAAGTGTCAGCAGGCAGACACTGCTCCCCGATATTTATTGTTCAGTATCTGCACCCTTCCATGACCCAGGCCCCCTGAGCTGTGCACCTCTGAGGTGGAGTGGCTCAGAAATAAGTCTAGTGTCACTCAAGGGCCTCCTGGACAGAAGAGCAGATAGGAGAAGTGGACGCATTCCATCTCCTCATGGTGATATGGAAGAGGTGGATGAGGGAGGCCATCTCTAGCACTGTGTCTCCCTCTGAACTCGGGAAAGAAGAAGAGAGTAGTTCACCAGACAGAGCTGGAGAAGCACTCAGTTGAGGGCAAGGCCCAGGGCAGGGCCTCAGTAAACAGGAACTGATTTTAGTACTGTCCTATGAGGACAGCTACTGTCAGCCTGGCTCTGGGAGCAGTAACTCTGTCACTGTTCTCAGAGCACACCCATGATAAATGTTGTGACTCCCTGAGATCCTAATCCACAGAAGCAATGATACTTCAGGGATCGTCTGCGGTCTGAAGGGACATGGCCCAGGACTAGGACAGCAACTCCTGAGGACATCACCCTGACTCCCTGTCTCATCCTTGGGGTCCTTAGTGGATGAACTCTACCCTTCCTTTTCCACTCTCTGAGTCTGAAAATAGAGTACGGGGGAGTTTCCCATTACTGTCCAAAAAACAGTGGGGAATGCAGCACGGCTCTCTCTGGTTGACCTGTGTGTCACCCAAGTCCAACAAGACAGGAAGGAGCCATCATGGCAAAATAAGACACCAAGTGTTAAAGAGGAATTTGACTTTTTATTCTCCAGAAAACCAGATATACAAATAAAAATGTTCCGGCAGTCCAGCCTATGTGAAGACGGAACATTTATCACTGTTGGGGAAATGTTATGATACGATAGTGAGATGATTTTCGCTGTGATCTTGAGAGTGTATGAAATGTTCACAAGTGACTGAAAGTAACAAAGCCCTGGGGGCTGGGGCTGTGGCATAGTGGGAAAAACTGCCGCTTGTAGTGCCAACATCCCAAATGGGCGCCAGTTCAAGTCCCGGCTGCCCCACTTCTGATCCAGCTCTCTGCTATGGCCTGGGAAAGCAGTAGAGGATGGCCCAAGTGCTTGGGCCCCTGCACCCACATGGGAGACCCAGAAGAAGCTCTTGGCTCCTGGCTTCAGATTCGTGCAGCTCTGGCCGTTGTGGCCAACTGGAGGCGTGAGCCAGTGGATGGAAGACCTCTCTCTCTCTACCTCTCCTTCTCTCTGTGTAACTTGACTTTTTTAAAAAAATTTTTTTACTTGACTTTCAAACAAATAAATGCTACTCTAAGAAATCACACATTACTAGTGAGCTTGCGGGCCCTGGATGTGCTTCCTCAGTAGCAGCCCTTCCCTTCTGCCCCTGGTGAACTGACATCCTTAATTCTATACGGTTTGCCACACTTCAATGCATCAATAAGCCATATACCGGTCTTCTTTGCTTTCCTTTGATAGAAATGGAATCCTAATCATGTGTTCTGTGATGAGCTTCCTTCCTTCCTCACTCTGTTCAGGAGAGGCATCTGTGTTGTTGTAGGAATATGTAGCTGCACCATTCATTCATACTCAACATTGGAGAGGACTTTGTTGTTTAAAGTATCCCTCAACAGATTCATGTGGCTATAGCAGAGGGTACAGAACGAAGGCAGCAGACAGTGGATGACATGAAGGGAGGGTGAGCTTGGTCACTAGAGTTTCAGCTTATGTCTACTGTCTCATGTGTAAATGGGACAAGCACCCTTGCTCCTTGTTGCTGAACAATCTCTGCCTAATGTAAAAAGCACTCTTGAGGGGCTGGCATTGTGGCATAGTGTGTTAAGCCACCATCTGTGACACTGGCATCCCTTATCGGTGTGCTGTTTTGAGTCCTGGCCACTCCAGGCTTCTGACCCAGCTCCCTGCTAATGCACCTCGGAAGGCAGAGAATGACGGCCCAAGTACTTGGGCCCCTAGTATCGATGTGGGAGATCCAGATGGAGTTCTTGGCTCCTGGTTTTGGCCTAGCCCAGCCCTGGCTATTGCACTCTTTTAGGGAGTGAACTAGCAGATGGAAGATCTCTCTCTCACTGTCTCTCTTGCTCTGCCTTTCAAATAACTAAATTTATTTTATTTGAAAGAGTTACAGAGAGAAGTAGAGATAGAAAATCAGAGAGAGGTTTCCCATCTACTGGTTCACTCCCCAAATGGCCATAATGTCCAGAGCTGAGCCAATCTGAAGCCAGGAGCCAGGAACTTCCCCTGGGTCTCCTACATGGGTGCAGGGGCAAAAGGACCTGGGCCATCTTTTGCTGCCTTCCCAGGCACATTAGCAGGGAGTTGGATTAGAAGTGGAACAGCTCAACTCAAACTGGTGCCCATACAGGATGCCGGCACTGCAGCCGGGGCTTTAACTCGCTGAGCCACGGCACTGGCCCCCAAATAACTAAACCTTAAAAAAACAAAACACTCTGGAATTTGTTAATCACAGAGAGAATGAAGGAGCTCCCTGAGTGCCAACCATTCCCTGAGGCCTATAGGAAACAGTAGAACACATATACACATGGCCTATTGATTTTCAACAACAGTACAAAGACAATTCAAAGAAGAAAGGAAAGTCTTTTCAACAACTGGTGCTGCAAAAACTGGATATTCGTATGTAAAACAATGACTGTCAGTACACAACTCACCCTGGAGATTCTGCCCACTCCCACCAGCCACACTAAGAAAAATCTCAAACTTCACAGAGACACTGAATAGAGGATTCAGGATTCTGTCTTAGTACAGAGACAACACTAGCTCTAAATTCAACGCTACTCTGCTCCTGCTAAATGAAGTTAAAAGACAGACGACAAGTAAAAAAAAAAAAAAAAAAGGGCCGGCGCCGCGGCTCACTAGGCTAATCCTCCGCCTTGCAGCGCCGGCACACCGGGTTCTAGTCCCGGTTGGGGCGCCGGATTCTGTCTTGGTTGCCCCTCTTCCAGGCCAGCTCTCTGCTGTGGCCAGGGAGTGCAGTGGAGGATGGCCCAAGTGCTTGGGCCCTGCACCCCATGGGAGACCAGGATAATAAGTACCTGGCTCCTGCCATACATGCGCCGGCCGCAGCGCACTGCCCGCGGCGGCCATTGGAGGGTGAACCAACAGCAAAGGAAGACCTTTCTCTCTCTGTCTCTCTCTCTCTCTGTCCACTCTGCCTGGAAAGAAAAACACAGAGAAAAGGGACAGACGACAGGATTACAAGAGAAAGATATTGAAAGTTACTGTAGGGGCCAGTGTTGTGGATTAGTGGGTAAAGCTGCTGCCTGTGATGCCAGTATCCCACCCCATATGGGTGCTGGTCTGTATCCTGGCTGCCCCACTTTCAACCCAGTTCCCTACTGATGGCCTGGGAAAAGAAGCGAAAGATGGCTCAAGTCCTTGGGCCCCTGCTACCCACATGGAAGACCTGAATGAAGCTTCTGGCTCCAGGCTTTGGCCTGGTCCATTTCTGGCCATCGTGGCCATCAGGGGAGTGAACCAGTGGATGGAAGATCTTTCTGTCTGTCTCTCCCTCTCTCTGCCTTTCAAATAAATAAGTCTAAAAAAAAAAAAAAAAACAACAAAACATGCATCCCATATGTTCAAGAAGCTAATAGAAAGATCAAACCATATTAATTTGACACATCAAAGACACAAAAAAGATCCAAATCAAACCTCTGGAGATGAAAAATATGTCTAAGAAAAAAAATACAAAGCTGGTGCTGTGGCGGAGTAGGCTAAGCCTCTGCCTGTGGCACCGGCATCCCACATAAGTGCCTGTTCTAGTACTGGTGGCTGCTCTTTCTAATCCAGCTCCCTGCTGAAGGCCTGGGAAAGCAGTAGAGGACAGCTCAAGTCCTTAGGCCCCTGTACCTGTGTGGGAGACCTGGAAGAAGCTCCTGGCTTTGGATTGGCACTGCTCTGGACATTAAGGCCACTTGGGGAGTGAACCATGTGATGGAAGACCTTTCTCTCCGTAACTCTTATCTTGTAAATAAATAAATAAAATCTTTATAAAAAAAAAGTGATCAGAAGGCAGAGAGCTAGATCGGAAGGGGAGCAGCTGGGACTAGACTGGTGCCCATATGGAATGCCAGCATTGCAGGCCAGGGCATTAAGGCGCTGTGCCACAGCACTGGCCCCAGCAGGCTAATTTTTAATTTGATAATTTTATATGGCCACGAATGATGTTCTAAATATCTAAATGGCCCTTTGCAGATAGAAGGTTCTCCATCCCTGCTCTGGGGATGGGAACAGATAAACTGCAGACTTACCAAGACACTAACAGGCACTGGATCTTCAGGATCCCTCACCTGTCCAATCTCTTTCCCAGGTCTTGAGGAGTGCCCCAATCAACTTTTCATTTAAAGTTTTTATTTATTTGAAAGGCAGAGTTACAGAGAAAGAGAAGGGAGAGAGAGAGAGAGAGAGAGAGAGAGAGAGATCTTCCATCTACTGGTTCACTCCCCAAACAGCTGCAATGACCAGGACTCAGCCAGTCCAAAGCCAGGACCCAGGAGCTTCTTCCAGGTCTCCCACGTGGGTACAGGGCCCAAGCACTCACTTGGGGCATCCTCTGCTGCTTTCCCAGGTGCAATAGCAGGGATATGCATAGGAAGTGGAGCAGCTGGGACTCAAACCAGAGTCCATATTGGATGCTGGTGTCACAGGCAGCAGCTTTATTCGCTATGCCACAATGCCAGTCCCGACAGCCTTAATCATTTGGTATTATTTTCCTTTAAGAGAGTCCCTGCATGGGCCAGCATTGTGGTGCAGTGAGTTAAGTCACTGCCAGATCCCATATTGGAATGCTTGGTTCCTGCCATCCATGTGGGAGACCCAGACGAAGTTCCTGGCTCCTGACTTTACCCTGGCTCAACCCTGACCAAACTCTGACCATCAAGACCATCTGGGGAGTGAACCAGCAGATTGAAGATCTCTCTCTCTCTCTCTGCCTCTGCCTTTCAAATAAATAAAAATACATCTTAAAAAAAATAACAAAGTTCTTTGCTACAAAGGTGCAAATTAATTTTGGCAAATATCCTTGGCTAAATATTATAACTGGCTCAGGAATGACAGAGCACAATCATCTCTGTGTTGTGCCTACAACTGCTTTCAAAACACGATGCAATCTTGGCCCAGAGCTGGCAGCATGGTCATACAACCACGCCTTCAGCAAAGATTCCTAACTTCCAAGGCCGTACCAGAACCTGGTCAGGTAGCTCAGGCATGGTAACAAGAAACCCAGAAATCCCTGCGCTTTGTCTTTTGTATGAATGGAGGAGGAGAAGCTGAACCAGTGATCTGAGAACAGGGAGAGGAATTTGCCACTGGATAGAATATTTTCAACAGGAAGAACAAATCATCCACAAAGGGGATTTGCTTAGTAGAAGTTGAGGAATTTGTGAAGTAAGGCAGAACTCTTCCTCCACAAAAAAAGGCTATATTCAACAGGGAAAGAATAGGACTCAGAAGAAAATGTTATTTTGAGGAAGCCGAAAAGGAACACGGTGTGAATCCCTGTGAAGTCTGCAAGACCAAGCTTCCTGTGAATTTTGTATCAGCAGAAACACAGCCAGCTTGGACTGAAAGGGACAGAGAGTATACAAAATGAGACTGTTGGATCCCCAAAATTCCACTGGCAAGAATCAGCTAACAAAACTACTCAGATACAACCAGGTGCTACCTTCCACTGAAAAGGAAGGCAATCAGAGGAGAGGCAGAAGCCCAGAAGGAAGCCAGGAGCTCAGAGGGTGGGACCAAGAGCAAAGGAGGCAGAGCAGAACACACCTGCAGAGAATGTTTCAGGCCCTGAAACTTAATCAAGAATCAATGGCCTTTCATGAAAAAGCAAAGTGATTTAGAGGCTAGAACCAGGAGCTCAGAGGGCAGAGCGGAGAATCACAGGAGATAATTCCCAGGCCTTAATCTAAGCAAGGAACTGGAGTTTGTCCAGATGGATTTCAAAGCTGCCCTAGGCTAGCAACTCCCTTTTACCTTCTATTTTCATTTTCCTTTTTTTTTTTTGACATGTATATAAAAACATGGCATATGAAATGTATATGCCAGTCCCACTTTGAATGTTGAGAGGCCTAAGGGCAGACAATTTGTCTCTTTAGTTCTATTTAATAGCTGGTCCACAGCCATTAACAAGAACTGTTCGGGGCCGCCGCATGCAGCACTGGCCTCCCATATGGGTGCCGGTTCAAGTCCCGGCTGCTCCATTTCCAATCCAGCTCTCTGCTATGGCCTGGGAAAGCAGCAGAAGAAGATGGCCCAAGTCCTTGGGCACCTGCAATTGTGTGGGAGACCCAGAAGAAGCTCCTGGCTTTGGATCAGCCCAGCTCCAGCCATTGAGGCCATTTGGGGAGTGAACCAGTGGATGGAAGACCTCTTTCTCTCTGCCTCTGCCTCTGTAACTCCACCTTTCAAATAAATAAATAAATAAATAAATAAAATAACTGTTCGGGAGATGTACTTGACAGATTACACTCCTGAGCCTCATCCACGTGAGATTTAATTATTAGAGGGTAAGATTTGGAATATCTGAACTCACGAGATTTAGGGCTTTGAACCATTGCCATAATGGAATGAAACCCCTGGGAGGAGTGATGGTACATACACACAACAGCAAAACAGGGTCCACAGCTAACAAGCAGAAGGACGGGCAGACCAACAATGGATAACTTGCTACTAAATCTGTGGTAATTTGTCATGCAGCATTAGAAAACTAACCCAGGTTTTGTTTAGGTCCACAAATTCTCTATCTGGAAATGCTGCTTTAGCCTATTCTGAGAGCAAACTTCACGTGGCAACAAGAGAAGCAGGTGCAATTCTGGGACCAGCCCTCTGCTTGTAAAATCAGCACAAATTTCTCATCTGCAGAGTGGGTGGATCAAAGGAGAAAAATCTGTAGGCAAACACTTGTTCACCAGCCAGTCTTTTCAAATATCAGATGTATTATTAATCACAACACCCATGCTGACAATCCACAGATGAAGAATCCAGACACAGCCAAGAACAGGAAAGTCATAGCTGCTTACCCTCCTCAGGCCAGAACTGTAGATTGCTAGAATGGAGATATGCTCCTTCTCCTCCTGTTAGAAAACTGCCCAGGAAAAACTCATCCTCCTTCAAAAAGAACAAAAAAGAAACCGAAAAAGCACGTGATTTATAGCATAAATACCCGAGAATCAAAAGTCCTGCTCAATTTTATCTGTCTATGAAGTTGAGTCAAACTCAGATATGCCCAACGCACTCCATGGCCTCTGTTGTTGCCCAGTTCTTTGTGAGTTTCTGGCGCCCCTGATTTATGCTGGGACAGGGAATGCAAAGGTCTTCTCTGAGTTTAGGCACCAGAGCCCATGTGCTTGTTCACATGCCAGTGCATTCATTTCCTCTGTGAAATCAGGCAGCTTCTCCTCGGCCTAGAGCTTTGATCTCTCATTTCCACACACCTAGACCAATCTGGGATTTCAATAGCTTTCAATAGCACTGTGAGATTTTTTTTTCTTTTTTTTTTAAAGATTGATTTTTTATTTGAAGTCAAGACACGGTGACAGTGAAAAGTAGAGATCTTGTGTCTACTGGTTCACTTCCCAATGGCTGCAATAGCAAGAGCTGGGCCAGGCTGAAGCCAGGAGCCAGGAACACCATCTCAGTCTCCCACGTGGGTGGCAAGGGCCCGAGTACTTGGCCATCATCCGCTGCTTTCCTCCCTGCACTAGTAGGAAGCTGGATCTGAAGCAGAGCAACTGGGACTTGAACCAGCATTCCTATATGGATGCAGGCATCGCAAGCAGCAGTTCCCCCCAAGGCTTACTTTTTATTTATTTGAAAGGCAGAGTTAGACAGAGACAGAGAGAGACAGAGATCTTCCATCTGCTGGTTCACTCCCCAAACGGCTACCATGGCCAGGGCTGTGCTAGGCAGAAGCCAGGAGCTCGGAGCTTCTTCCAGGTCTCCCACATGGGTGTAGAGGCCCAAGCACTTGGGCCAACTTCTGCTGCTTTCCCAGGTGTATTATCAGAGAGCTGGATTGGAAGTGGAACAGCCAGGTCTTGAACCAGTGCCCATACAAGATGTCAGTTTTGCAGGTGGAGGCTTAACCTACTACACCACAACAGCTCCTGCAAGCAGCAGCTTAACTCACCTCACCACAACACCAAATTGGGGGGCCAGCACTGTGGCTTAGTGGGCAAAGCTGCCACCTGCAGTGCTGGCACCCCATACATGAGCGCCAGTTTGAGTCCCAGCTATTCCACTTCCAAGCCAGCTCTCTTCTATGACCTGGGAAAAGAGTGGGAGATGGCCCAAGTCCTTAGGCCCCTGCACCAGCACAGGAGACCCAGAAGAAACACCAGGCTTCGGATTGGTGCAGCTCTGCCTGTTGTGGCCATTTGATGAGTGAACCAGAGGATGGAAAACAACTCTCTCTGTCTCAGCCACTGCCTCTCTGTAACTCTGCCTTTCAAATAAATAAATAAATCTTAAAACAAACAAAACACTCAAAGGTCTAAATGGCAGAAAGAATCTCTCGAATTCTGTCCTCACAAATGGCTTCTTTTCAGAGCTCTGCTGACAGGAAGACAGAGACACCTAGGACCTTCAGGTTAGCAGTACGATGAAATATTTTAAATTATCTTTGTAGGTTGTTTACATTTTACTTTTGATATAATGTACACTGAAAATAAGAATGTGCTTACCCTCACTGCTTGCTGAGTTTTCTCAGACAATTTCACTTCCTTATCTTCTACCTGTGTGCAAAAGAAATATAGATTTTCAGTTTATTACTTCAAAGGCAAAATCCTGCAAGGTCTCCGCATTGTGTTCAAATATTTCCAGGACAGTAATTGGCAGCTCCTCTACCACATCCAGTGCTCTTGGGCCCTGACATAGTTGGCAGAATTGGCCGCTGGTCATCAAGGCATTGGTGGGCTCTCTCACTGGGACCTGACACTCAGCAAACAAGCCTGTGACGTGGGGAGCATGTGTTGTCTCCACCCACATTTCACTTCAAGAAAAAAACAACTATTTTTAGGGATGCAGGAATGAGAACATTCTAAAATGTTTTTGGAGTTCGTTCTTAAGTATGTTCATGTTAGAGAGTGACTCTTGGTCTTCTTCCCTATCCATGTCAGAACTACAGATTCAGAACATGAACAGGTTCTAAAACAGGAACACGAACGATTGCTGGGTTCACTGCTTCTACATCTCCAGGCACCAGCCCTTGACCAAGTCCCACGGAGGAAGATGGAACTTTTCCATGTGTAGACAGATATAAAAATTCAGCAGCAACCATTCTGACCACAGGCTCCACCTCTCACTGTCTGTGACCCTGGACAAACTGTTCAACTTCCAATCCTCAGCCTCCTCCTCTGCAAATGTGGTGTTCATTTCTTCCTTTCACAACTTAACATGCACCCAGATAGCTTTGTTCCTTTCTTCTGAATCTTTTCCAAGATTATGAAGGTGTTAAATAACTAGATTCATTCACATAAAGAGAAAAAGACTGACATAAAAAATTCCATTTCTGAACACTAGCTAATTCAGAATCCGACATCCCGCCAGGGAGCCAACAGAGAGGCTCTCCTCAGTTTTCTCCCGTGTAGGTCTCCTCCTACCAGGCAGGGGATGACACTAACCAGCCAAGAGCGGAATCTGGGTATGGCGGCAGTCAGGACTATGCAGCTGGTTTCTGTGGTAACAGTGCCATCTGTAGGAAGATCACAGACATGCCAGTTACTCCCCAACACCTTAGCCTACCCTGCAGGCCCCAGACCGCAAGGCCTTCCTGTTCTTAGAAGCAAGAGCTCCTTTTCCTAGTACACATGGTCTGATGCCCTCAGAAAATAAAAACTTCCTCATCTGCGGACAGGGAGACTAACAAGGAGATGCAGAGGCTTCCTGTGTGATTAACTTTACCATTTTTCAGAGCAAAAAGAAACACATTTAAATGAAGAGTCAAAGGTATACAAGTTAAAAATCAGAACATTATCCATCAGGCTCATTCTACTAGCACTGGATATTATCATTCTTCAAGATAATTGGTCAAAAGTAGTATTAATTGTTTCAAACTGCTTGACTACTACTGGGGCTGTGTATCTTCATACATGAAATTGCCCCTGCATTTTTTCATCATACACTGCTGTGAACTGCCTGATCATATATTTTGCCCATTTTACCATCAGGTAGTATATCTTTTTCTTATTCATTTGGAAGAGCTCTTTATAAGTTAGGAAATATAACCTTCAATCATAAGTACTCTAATATTTTTATGAGTTTATTAATGGTTATTTGCCCTTATGGTTCACTTTGCCAAAAAAGAAAAAGGTTCAAGGCTTGCTTTTCAAAAACCACATATACTTACCATTTTCTTTAACCATAATCTGAGATGTCAAAAATGATTCTGAGAAGACCACAGATCCTAAGCACCCTCTTCCTCCCAGCAAGTCAGGAATGTCATAGACAGCCATACAAGCCTGGATCAAATGAGAAATCAGGGTCAGACCAAAGGCAGCCCAAAGCCTTCTGGGAGAGATCCCTAAGAAAGAGTTCACAACACTGCTTTTGGATATACAGCAAAAGAATACTGAAGGGTTTCTAAGGAAAACTGGAGTTAACTTGAAATAGATCTCTGAACTAGGAGATGACTTCAGGATCACCAAGTCCTTGGGCCCCTGCACCTGCATGGGAGACCCGGAAGAAGCTCCTGGCTCCTGGCTTCGGATTGGCACAGCTCCAGTCATTGTGGCCATTTGGGGAGTGAAACAGCAGATGGAAGACCTCTCTCTCTCTCTCTCTGCCTCTCCTTCTCTCTCTGTGTAACTCTGACTTTCAAATAAATAAATAAATAAACATTTTTTTTTAGAAAAAGAATACATGTAGTATTTGTTGGACACTTGCTATATATTTTATACCATGTGGCTTGAAAAGAGAAAATACACAAAATAGAATCTGGTTTTAGGAAATTGGTAATGTAGAAATATAACTGAGCAGATAAAAGCTTTCTCATACAAAAGTAATCATACGCCATGTTAGTATGACCTAATTTGTGTAGAACAAACTACATGTACTATGGTATTTGTAGGGAAAATCAATAGGGAAGGCTTTAGGGAGGAGGCAGAACTTCATCTCTGCTGGGGTGGCAAGACAGGATCTGGACAGAAACCATCAACTTCCTGCCTCTTCTTTCCTACTTTACTGGCTGCTGTTGAATGAATACTTAACTTGAGTGTGACTCTACTGGACTCCTAATTACCTACTATGGGGCAGACTACCTTCCAAAGCACTTAATAAAAGCCCAAGGAGAGAAATCAGGGATCTAAAGTTTAGCAAGGAGACAGAGTATTACCACTGAAATATCAGAAAGCATTTCCCAATGTCTTAATGATGTCATAAAAAGCCTAATTTCATTCTAAAAGAATGTTAAGGCAAAATGCAGATAGAATGAGATAAATTATAAAAACATGAATTACTCACCTCAAAAAATTATACCCACTGTACAACTCTCTGCAGATGAGATAACACTACCGATAGGAACTCTGAGTTGCTTTTCCTATGTAACAGTGAAGATGATGCACCCAGTGCACTTTAGGGATAAGACCAAAGCTAGCTGTAATTAAGGCTCAGGCAGTGGTCACAGAATAGATTCGAGGTATAACTTGTGGCCAGAATCTCGGCTGGACATCTACCAGCCTCTCACCCATTCCTTGCCAACCCTTTTCACATCACCATGCACTGGGGCAAAGAGGGAACTCGGCTTTGGTGGAGAGCAACTGGCCTAGACACTGGTTCCCCCAAGCCATGCTGTCCCACTGCAGGGACCAAAACGTCAGGCAGCCCAAAACCAGCCCCTGGCCCACCAGTCTGGCCCTAGCACATCGGTTGGAAAGCTCTGTTCTGACAACTTCACTTCACTGGAAACACAGTCTCTGCTGATTGCTGTTTGTTTAATTAATCAATCAATTTTTCAGGTATCAATACAGCCTTGGAATGCAAAGAAAACTCGCTGGGCTGTTGGTGCAGGTGGCTTGTCTTCAGTTCACATTTCCACATGAGGTCAGAGCCGTCTCAGAGGCCCTTCTGCCAACCCTCAGGTAAGACTGATCCCTGGGGAAGCCTGGGCGCAGTAGTGTGGATGTGGGCAGGCCTGGCACAGCAGCCAGGGCACCCTCAGAAAGCACAGCATCACCACTGCTGTGGCCAGGGTGTACTCAGAACAGAGCAGTTTCCAGAGACCAGGGCTCCCACCCACACTTCCACCTCATCCCTTACAGATGTCTTTCTATAGGACATTCCCAGCTAGTTGACCTGTAACAGTTCTACTTACCGTCTTTACCAAGGACAAGCTATCTTCACTGTCCAGAGGTACAATTCTAGAAGAGGGAGGAGACAGGAGAGACATGCATTAAAGAATTTTTAATTGTACTGAAATTCACAATGTTCTCTATTTTTCAACTTGGTGATGACAAATCAAGACTCAGATTTCTCTCAGAGATTTAGAAAACACAGGGTTGCCTGTCTGTAGAATTAGTGTTGGGCCACCAGGGTGAATGACATCCACACACAACCCCCATCAGCCTTTCAGTGGGACTCTTTCAAGGCCCAGGGGCTCGGGTGAGCAGACTCAGCCCTGAGCCCAATCCTGGAGTGATGTCACTGCCAGGTGTGGACCTGCGGAAAGACCGTCTGTATCAGCAGCTACAAGGTAGCTTCTCTTCTCATTAGCTCCTAAAACCTGCCCCAGGGAGGATCACAATCGTGTACTTACCTTCCCTGATTATTCACAGCATGTATTTGAAAAGCTGTCTTGGAGCTGTAGGCCAAAAACAAAACAAAGATCAGGTTGCTGTTTCCTGTTTCAGACTCTCAAGACCTTCCAGTAAGGTGTGTGTCACCCTTGCTTTGCACAGATCTACCTTAAGCACTGTAGGTAGCTTTCCCAGGGCCATGTTGTTGGAAGGTATGGGGACAGTGTAGTCATGGTGCTGCCTCTTTGCTAGGTCTCAGGGCTGCCTTGAGTCTTGCACCAGAGTCAAGAGAAAATGCCCACTGCAGATTGGGAGTGACCCTCTACAGGTCTGGGTCCTCCTGCACAACCAGTTGGATATGTTCTCCTGCTCCTCCTGCTCCTCACTGACCTTGGGTCAGCTATCCAGCCAGGCCTGCTTTGAGCCTGAGCAGGGGCCATGTCACGTCTCTGTTATAGTCAGCTGCTGTGGAGCCATGGGCAGGGTCGGGCCTCCAGGGCAGCCAATCAGAAAGCCCTTCTGGATTACTCTTTTTACAAATGTTTCTGAATTGTCTAAGTTTAATTTCTTATCTTAACAAATCCTGGGTTAGCCACATACTGACTCTGCATGTGTGTTCATGGCTCCCCTTAGGAGGTCTGTTAATCTGATGGAGTTTTAGGGTACTCAGTGAAGTGACCCTTGTGGCAGAAGGGCATGGGGCTCCCGGGGGAAGACTGGCCCTAGAGGCCCTCCTTGCCCTGCCTGGTCTTTTCCTTGTGCCCTCCTCCAGCCAGGGTGGTACACTCAGGCCTAGGAGGCCTTGGGATTGAGGGGCAGCCTGCTCTAGGAAGGCTGGATGAACTAGGCAAGGGCCTGAGGAAAGGAGCAGTGGGATGACTATGCAAGCCATGTCAATGGTAACAAAACAGGCCCTACTGCAACGCCAGCTAAGAGTGACACGCCCAGGTCCTCGACAAGGTGTGTGGCTGAGGAAACGAGCAGAGTTCCCTGTCTTCCAAGGTCACAAAGTTGGAAAGTGAAGGAGCATTCTCAAACTCAGGTCTGCGGGAATACCCAGTGCAGCACAGCACAAGCCTAAGGGAACAGGTTTCCCTTCTCTTCCCTTTCATGCTAGAGAAAAAACATCCAGAAGACCCAGGGGAAAGAAGACCTGAAAGAAGCCCAAAGCCTTGCACCACAGAGTTCTGGCTCTTTCCTGCACTCCTGGAGCTACAGCAATAGAATTACTATTTGTTCAATTGACTGACTTATCTTTCAAGGCTCTTTCTTACCACCCAGGGCTGTAGATGTTAAAAAAATGTGAGACATGTGAAGCACCACAGGGCCAGTGCTGTATCATTTTTTTGTTTGTTTGTTAAGATTTATTTATTTATTTGAGAGGCAGAGGTACAGAGAGGAAGAGAGAGGTCTTCCATCCATTGGTTCACTCCCCAAATGGCTGCAACAGCTAGAGCTGGGCTGATCCAAAGCCAGGAGCCAAAAGCTTCTTCTGGGTCTCCCATGTGGGTACAGGGGCCCAACTTGGACCATGCTCTACTGCTTTCCCAGGGATATTAGCAGGGAACTAGATTGGAAGAGGGGCATCGAGGACTTAAACTGGTGCCCATTTGGGATGCCAGCGCTGCAGGTAGAGGCTTAACCTATCAAGCCATAGTGCTGGCCCCACAGTGCTGTAGCATTCTTAAGCTCCCCAGTATCAGTGTCTTTTGTACCCTTTGCATAATGCTGTACAAAATGGTCCCCCTGTGGGACAGTGGGCTAAGTGGACCACCTCCATGAAGAAAGCTATGGACACAGACCACACAGATTCACTAGGACATGCAGGCAGCTGTGACGGCAAGACTGCAAGCAGCCAGATTTCCAGGCCTTGTGGGCCTAAGACACAGCCAGACCCAGAATTTCTACCATTTGAGAGGCAAATGAAGCCCACAGCAAATCTCTTCTAAGCAGTGACTACCTTCATGTGCCCAGGGCCCCCGGCCTTAACCAATTTTACCTCTCAAGTTCCTAGCTTCACCTTCCTAACCTGGGAACCCAGGCCTGCCAGGTCCCTGGTGCTACCTTATTCTGGCCTCAGAACATGTATGTGACTCTTTCTCACACAATTCCTCCACCTTTAGCTCCTTAGTTTCTTGAATAAAAGCCTGATCATATTCAGCCATTGAGGCCATCTGGGAAGTGAAACAGCAGATGGAAGGTCTCTCTCTCTCTGTGTGTCTATCCCTACCTCTGTAAGTCTGCCTTTCAAATAACTAAAATAAACCTTTTTTTTCCCTAAAAAATGCATGATCATAAATGATCAAATGGGAGATAGAATATAAATTACAAGGAACAAAAAAGCAGAGCTAAGACTTAAACTTAGCCACCCTAATAAGGAACGCAGGTATCCCAACAGCATCTTTAGCTGCTGCACCAAACAGCCATCATCTTTCTAAACATAAAAGAATTCCTCTGGTGGCTGTTTGGTGTAGCAGCTAAAGATGCTGTTGGGATACCTGCGTTCCTTATTAGGGTGGCTAAGTTTAAGTCTTAGCTCTGCTTCCAATTCCAGTTTCCTGCTAATGTACACCCTAGGAGGCAGCAAGTGATGCCACAAGTAGCTGGGTACCTGCCACCCATGTGGGAGACCCAGAGTGAGTTCTGGGCTCCCAGCTTTGGCCTTGCTCAGCCTCAGCGGTTGCAGGCATCTGGGGAGTGAACCAGAATATGCAATATCTCTCTTTGTCTCCCTCCTTTTGTCTGCATTTCAAACCAAAAGCAAGTATTTTTTTTAAATATTCAAAATTCCCTCTAAAGTATTTGCCATTGCTTACCGTAAAGCTGCCTTAAACTGAATCAACTCAAAGGAATCTAACCCAGATCCCAGGGTCTGCTCTGCTACCTCCTTGGCCTGTAAAATCAATAACAAAGCAAAGATTAGCTTTCACAGCACAAAAGTGCACACATCACTGACAAAAAGGACCCTTCTAACATTAATCCAGTGCCCTTCCCCTCTATATGACTACTTTATACTATCCACAGATTAAAGTGAAAGTAGCATGTTAAACAGCAGGTGCCTCCTTTCTTCAGGCTGGGTTTACAGTAACACCTGCCTTCGGACAGGTGGACATTGGCACCTGCTCTGCCAGTGAGATGGAACCAGCTGAGATGATGCCAGTGCAATGTGAGGTCTGGAAAAGCGATTCTTCCTTCCCTCTCCCCTGGCTCTGGGGAGGCACCACTGCCCTCAGAGTTTCTGCCAGATGCCAAGAACAATCAGACAGCCAGAGTTACAAAAGATGAGCTAAAAAACAAAAGTGTGAGAACTGATGTTGAAGGACATCCCACTGCACTGCATAAGCCTTCTGCCATAAATCAGCTAAAGGGCTGAGAAATCCCACGTCAGTACCAAGGATTCAAGTTCAGTGAGGAGGGGAGACGGCTAGGAGCTGGTGACTACTGCTACGGTCTCTCTGATATCTACATCATACACAACCTTTCCAATGTCAAATGGCTTCCTTCAGGAAAGGTCCTATTGGCATTGGGAGGCATCAAGCCGACTCTTCTCATCTCCTTACTGGGTCAGATATAGGAATCCAACTCAGCAGGGCAGGTTAACCGCAAAACAGCAAGGAAGACAGTGGTCAGAGAGCGAGAACACACGTGCTCGTCTAGGAAAGGCAAGTCAGATTTTCCAGTCTGTAGTTGCTTTCTTTTTAAACACTGAATTATAGGAAATCAAACTATGTAGCTCAAAACAAACTTACTTTAGTAAAAAAAATCACAGAATCATTTCTATAAAAATCTTGTTTAAACTATTAAACAAACCATCGTGTCACAGAATGATTTTTATCTCCAAAGAAGTGCTGATGAGTTGTCACTCAAGAGACAACAGCAGCAGGTAACAGGCAGCAGATGCTCTACAGTCATCTTTTTGCTTAGTGCCAAAGAGGCCCAAGCCCACCCAAAAGTGTTACAAGGTGCTCAAAGAATGAACAGATGGACAGGCTACTTTGTATTAAAATAATGACTACAGAAAGAGAAACATGGTATTTAAATTACCTTTGTTAGACTGGAAGTTTTAGCGTAACATGCAATGCCAGCCAGAACAGCCGCAATAACAGCAGTGTATACCTGGGACAAGAGCCTACTTTAAAACAAGAAATAACGGTTAACTACAGCACTAGGGGGTTTTATCAAAAGCTGCATGCACACAAATGACAGTCCAAGAACCTATTTTTAAACAGAATAAGTACAAAAGTGGAACTCTGATTTCTAAACCTTTTAGAAGTCTTGGTTTGACTGATCCTTTGTTTTCATTAAATCATCTTAAGAAAAGTCAGTTCCTCTGAACTCTGCTCGGAAGACCAAACTGTCCAACTGGTAACCAAACAGTATAGCAATAGCTAGGTTCCCTGAGAACTTCATGCGCAGGACCAGCTACACACAGACCAGGAATTCCTTCCGTATGGACATACATACCCAGGCACGAACCACACAGCTTTATACTGTCTCCTCGTCAGACCTGGTGAAGTCTGCCTGCTGCTGGGACTTCAGGGTGGGAGACCTCAGGGGCAACAGATCGCCCAACTAAGCAGAGGCTGGCTTCCACTTCACCTCTCCAAGCAGAGAGAACACAGGATGTTTCAAGGGGATCTTGCACCTTATCCTCTTTCTCTCTGATTTCTCACTCTCCAAAGTCTTACAAGAAAAAGTTTTTCTCTGCCATGAAGGTCTCCAGAAAATCCAAATCTGGTTCCCTTTAGGGAAGAGTTTCTCAACCTTAGCACTCTAGGCTGGGTATCTTTTATTGTGGGGTCTCTCCTGGGCATTGTAGGATGTTTAGCAGCACCACTCACTACACATCAGCAGCACCCCTCACTGTGACAACCAAAAATGGCTCCAGACTTTGCCAAATGTGCTCAGGGGTGCGGGAGATAGGGGTGGTAGAGTAAAATTGCTGTTGGCTGTGAACACTGCAGCCAGGAGGCCCAGGTTCTTCTTAGTTAGAACACTTACAGAGAGAATGGCCTCATCCACAAGCCCCTGAAAGGCAAGGCCTCACCTAGGACAGGTTTATTTTTAAGCCTGTGAGGGAAGGCGACAGAAATAGCAAGAAACAGACATGCTCTAGCCTAATCCTCCTGTCCTAGGGATGGAGTTAAGTAGGGCCTGTGGAAGCAGAATAAGTTGTCTAAGATCACAGAGAATTCATGGCAGCCCCAAATGCAGGTCTGCTCTCAGCCTAGTGTGTTCCCACTATGCCATATCCATGGTCATCTCCTTCAATTCCTCCTTGGCTCCTGCACCTCACCTCAACACTGTAGGTAAGAGATCTGAGTTGGGTTGAAGAGGAGACAGGGTTAGAGTTCATATAACAACATGACAGTTCCAAGGATCAACATATCCTGAGGATTGCTGGCCAGACCAGGGCAGAGGGTATACCCTGGTAGGATAGGACCTGGAAGGATACTTGTCATTGAGCTGGTTATTTCAGGGTGAGACCAGAATACTCTACATCTTGACATTATAGGTGAAGTTTTATAAGGCCAACCCCAAAGACATGTAAAGATACCCCCTCCTCAGCATGACTCAAACACCACTCAGTACCTACACTGGTCAGCCTCTTCTCTACTTGTCCTCAGACAACAGCCCAACACATAGGTGCTATTAACCCACAGAATGGCCTGGATGTGCTGCTATAACTTTCACTAGGACTCTACAAGGTACAACTTCTACCAGCTCTGAGTTCAGTAAATTGCCTGATATTAGCCCAGGGAACCAATTAATTCACTTTAGGTAAAAAGTCTATGCTTCTAGAATGAGGATCCTGGTGAGTCACTCAGCATGGCTGGCATGGAAGCACAGAAGGCAGAGAGCAAGGCCACATCCACTAACATATGCAAAAATGGTTCACTTGCTGCCAAAGTGAAGGCAGCCTGCCAAAAAACTATATATACATTATGATTACAGCTACATAAAATCTAAACGCACAATTTTTTGAAAGTCCCAGAAAAATACACATTAAGATACTAACAGGTAGAAGTAGAGAGGAGGAATTATGGTTGATCTCCATATTTCCTTATTTTCTGTAGTGTGATTAAACAATACAGCTTCCTGAGCCTACCCTAGAAATTCTGATTCTGCGGTTCTGGGAATGGGCACAGAGAATACTTTCAAGAAATCCTTCGATGGTCCTCTGTGGCCTATCACTGCTGGCCTTTGTGAAGTACAGTCCAGAGTCCACCATTTCATGCTGGGGTCTTTAATCAGGTAACCAACCCTGGAACTCCGCCAGGTCCCTGTTTCTGAAAGGACGTGCTTCCTGGAATTCAGCAGTTTCAGTATTAATGTGAAGGGAGAGGTCAACATTAGGTAGGACCTTTCTAAGGTGCTACAGCTAGGGTTTAGATCCTAGCTCTGTTCCACAAACAAGCTTATGGCAAAGTCCTCAGACCAGTGGGAGTTTCATACAGATTCATTCTCCCAGTGGATTTCAGGATGTTTTATTTTTAGAAAGGCCCCCAATAAAATGTACTATGACAAGGAGTCACGTCACACAAATGCATACATGTGTTGGGACAAAGTCTGAGCTTTGGAGAGGGGCAGGTGGCAAAGCTGGTAGGGTCTTCTGGCCTGGATTCCAAGTTGACAGAGTGGGGCTGGGGGTCTCCTGGGAAACCATACGGCAATGTTCACCTTGTACACTAAAGTCCCTACTCACTGCTGCTCTCAAAAGAGAGGAGACAGCACAGTCGCAGCTGAGTAACTCAGCTTTGAGAAAGAAAAAACAAAACAAACATAAAGTCTTACATTTGTTCAGTTTTCTCAGGCGGCTTGTCGTCACCACCTGTGAAAGAGCACACATACTGAGACCATGACGGAGGGTGCAGGCTACAGCGACACTTCACAGGGCAGCTAGTGCTGCTAAGTTTACTTAGAAGGCATTGTCAAGAGCTATTTTTTTTTCTTTTAAGTTAAACATAGTGCAAGCACAAACAATGGTGGAACTTGGCTTCTTTCAGTATCCTCAACTGTCTAGTTGCCATCAGGGAGGGAGGTGGAGACCCACAAGCTGGGGGCAACTATTAGTTCATGGGCGAAACCATTCATGAAGTAAGCTGATGAGCTGACAATTTATAGGGACTTACCTAAGTAAGGAACATGAGTAGCTCCAAAAAAGTATGTTCTTGAACAAGCAAGAGGTCCCTTTGGTGAAACGCACTGTGCTACCTGGATGTCAGAAAAGGAAGAAAAACAAAAATGAGCAGGTGCTAATGCATACATTGCTTCTAGAGAAACAAAAGGTATCTGGCTAATGGGAGTAAGTTTTATTTGACCAAAACTGATTTATTATTTTTAAAGACATAGGGTAAAAATCACCTTTAATGATCTTGCTTTTTCATGGTATCTTATGTGGGTGTGTGTATTGGTTTCAGACCTTGGCTACTGTGAGGTTGCTGTGGGTACTCAGTCCAGGATACTAATGAATTCCCAGCTCAGAAGGAACAAAGCAGCAGTGTGTTTGGGTTTTGACTGCCATTACTATTTAGTCATGTAAGAGGCCCTGTGTCCATTCCTCAGCAACTCTACCAAAACAAGACTGAAAACAAAATGTTCAATCCAGAGCTTTCACACATAAGATCCTGGTCCAGAAAACAGGCAGAGAAGTGGGGCAGCTACAAAGTCAGAAACCCAGGGCCTCACTTTCATTTGTATTTCATCTTGGTCCATATCCCTTGCAGAAGAGTAAGTTCCTATAGTTTTTTTCTTTCTTTTCTTCTTTTTAAAGATTTATTTTATTATTTGAAAGGCAGAGATATGGAGAGAAGGGGGAGGGAGAGAGAGAGAGAGAGAGAGAGAATCTTCCATATGCTGATTAACTTCTCAAATGGCTACAATGGTGGGGTTGGATCAGGCAGTTTTGGGCTCCTGGATTTGTACTGGCCCAGCCTCAGCTGTTGTAGCCTTTTGAGAAGTAAACCAGCAGATATAAGATCTTTCTCTGTCACCCTGACTTTCAAATAAAATTTTTAAAAATTCTTTTTTTTTCTTAAAGATTTATTTATTTGAAAGAATAAAGACAGAGTTACAGAGACGGACGGGCAGAGGCAGAGAAAGGGAGATTTCTTCCATCTCCTGGTTCACTCCCCATATGGCTGCAATGGTCAGGACTGGGTCAGGTTGAAGCCAGAACCAGGAGCTTCTTCCAGGTCTCCCACACAAGTGCATTGGCCCAAGCACTTCAGCCATCTTCTGCTTTCCCAGGCACATTAGCAGGGAGCTGGATCAGAAGTGGATTAGCTGGGACTTGAATTGGCACCCATGTGGGATGCTGGCACTGCAGGCAGCAGCTTAACCTGCTATACCACAGCATCAGCCTCTAAAAAATTATTTTTAGAAACTCAGCTTCCTTGGGTCATGCTATAAATTTGGGTAAGTACATATTAACATTAAATTTATTGACATTTACTTTAAAACATGGTACAAAAAGAATTTGCATAGATAATGAAGACTTGCTCAGATTATTTGGAGTTGCCTGTTTTACATGACATTAATCTGTAAATTACTCATAAATAGCACAGAAATGGAGAGTCTGCATGTTACCTTGAATAGAGCTGAAGAAGAAAGGCCCTAACATAGGGGCCCTAACCTCAGGACCATATCTCTGGGAAGTGCCTTTGGTTCTGTGTGTTTCCATGTTTGTGAAGGAAAGATAGGACAACAATGTTCCCCCATTATGACAGAAGTGGTGTGAAGATCCAGCTACATTGTTTTTCCCCTATTGTGCTATTGGGGTGGAATGAGAAGGCCATGCCAAGAAGGTCGCTGGCAAGCCAGCGTTAGTTACTCAGGAATGGCTTTGGAAACCACATGGCAATAGAGCCTGCCTGGCAACAGGCTGTGATCGGATGGCTTCGGATACTGCCTGGCAACAGGTTGTGACTGGTTAGGGCAATAAACCGCCCCTTAACCAGAATGGCTGCCTTGGCTATATAAGCTGCTGTACGAACTGAAATAAACGAGTCTGCGGGCTGCTCGCCTCTGACCCACTTTCACCCGACTTCCGGGGTCTGTGAGGTGACTCCGTGCCTCTTGTCCCCACCACACTCCTCCTCTCAAAACGAATCCACAGCAACACCCTATTACTTACATCTTGTGCCAGTGTCATAGACTTGTTATAAGGATGAATACTGACACATTATTGTTAACTGAAGTCCACAGATTATATTAAGGTTTACTCCTTAAGAAGGTTCTGACAAATATATAACGTCATGTGTCATCGTGACTGAATCACACAGAATAAATAGTTCCATGGCCTAAAAGTCTTCCTGCACTTCACCTACTTTCCTTCCCTCTCTCTCCAAATCCTGCTAACTGGCTCCAGTGCTGTATTTTTCCAGAATGTCATCCACTTGGAATCACTGTATGCAACCCTAATATTGCCTTCTTTGACTTAGCATCAAACATTTAAGGTTACTCCATGTCTTTTTCCTTTTCTTTTCCCCCAGCAAATGGTACTTTAACACTTTAACCTCAAAGATACAAAGAAGTAGTCTCCAGTTAGGGAAATACAGCAAAGTAAGTAACACAAAAGCCTTAATGACATTTTTCTTACTGGTTAACTTAATACAGGGCTATCTCGTACTTCTCTCTTGCTCCTGAAGCAAAAATGAATTTCTTTCATTCAGACTGGACTTCTTTGTGGAGTAATTCTATTGTAGCTATTTTGTGTTATGAAATGAGTGATAGCTGTATGGCTTAAAACCTAGATTTAAGGCACAAAATTCTCTAGCAGCTGTGAACACTTGAATACATGAATTTGAGGTTTATCGTGGTGAAAAGATTAACACAAAACCTCAGGTATTAGTCAATATGGTGGTACCTATACCAAGTCCACACTTGGCTCAGCAAAAAAGTTTGAATTTTCTTAAACAGTTACAGTAAGTAACTTGTTAAGAGTCAAAAAGCTGGGGCTGGCGCTGTGGCGCAGCAGATTAACAACCTGGCCTGAAGTGCCAGCATCCCATATGGGCGCCAGTTCTAGTCGTGGCTGCTCTACTTCCGATCCAGCTCTCTGCTATGGCCTGGGATAGCAGTAGAAGACAGTCCAAGTCCTTGGGCCCCTGCACCCACGTGGGAGACCCAGAAGAAGCTCCTGGCTCCTGGCTTCGGATCACCGCAGCTCCAGCCGTTGTGGCCATCTGGGAAGTGAATCAGTGGATGGAAGACCTTTCTCTCTGTCTTTACCTCTCTCTGTAATACTGTCTTTCAAATACATAAAATAAATCTTTGAAAAAAAAGAGTCAAAAAGCTGATTTTTTTTCTTGTAAATATAGGGATGATTTCTTTTTTCTTTTTTTAATATTTATTTGACAAATAGAGTTGGACAGAGAGAAAGGTCTTCCTTCCATTGGTTCACACCCCAAATGGCCCCTACGGCTGGCACTGTGCCAATCTGAAGCCAGGAGCCAGGTTTTTCCTCCTGGTTTCCCATGCGGGTGCAGAGCCCAAGAAGTTGGGCCATCCTCCACTGCCTTCCCGGGCCACAGCAGAGAGCTGGACTGGAAGAGGGGCAACCGGGACTAGGACCCAGCGCCCATATGGGATGCCGGCACCACAGTCGGAGGATTAACCAATTGAGCCATGGCGCCGGCCCAGGAAGATTTCTAAGCTCTTTATATGTCACAGCTGAAACTGGAAGCCTTCTCTGAACCTTACTTAGATCATGTGTTTTAAGGTGGCCGTTTGGCACAGCAGTTAAGCAGCTCCTTGGGACACCCACATCCCATACTGGAGTGCCTGGGTTTGAGTCCTGGCTGCATTCTCCATTCCAGCTTCCTACTCATGTGCAGCCTGGGAAGCAGCAACGATGGGCTCAAGTGGTTGGGTCTCTGTCAATCATTAGAGTCCTATACACAAGTCTAGCATCTCCTTTAAAATAATACAGTACACAATATATTATCAAATGTAAAAATCATCAAGATTTATAGCCTTCAATGTTAACAGTTAAGAACTTAAAAAAGAAAAAACTTAGGCTTGGAATGGCTATTTCAAATTCATTTGAGTCTATTTATTTGAAAGGTAGAGCAACAGAAGAGAGTGAGCTTCCATCACCAATTTACTCCCCAAATGGCTGCAACAGCCAGGTCTAGGCCAGGCCAAAGCCAGGAGCTAGAAACCTCATCCTGGTCTTCCGCATGCATAGCAGAGGCACAAATACTTAAGCCATCATTTGCTGACTTTCCAGAGCATTAGCAGGAAGCTGGGTTGGAAGCAGAGTGGCCGGGACTGATATGGGATGCTGGCATTGCAAATGGAAGCTTAACCTGCTGAACCACACAGCAGCCTGATTAGAAATTTTTATTTTACTGACACTACTCTAAGAACTTAAAAGAGTAGTTTGTGAAAATGTTCTTAACAGTTTTCTTTCAAATCTTTCAAAATTAAATGTTTTCAAATCATACCTGGCACTTATATATAATTTCCAATCACTTTTTTCACTCCAAAAGAATGTCAAGTTCAGGGTTAAATCAACATTAACTAGAAAAGGCTCCCCACCCCAGCCCCAAACCTTGGATAATGAATCTATCAAACATGAGGCAGTCCAACCACCTACCATGTGTTTGGCAAAGCTCCCACCAGGACCAGTGCTGCGTACCAGGTGCCCTTCAGAAGGGAAGTTAAAATTGCCAGCATTCAGGTTTTCCCGTGTGGAATGATTACCAAAGAGAACAAATGGCTGCCTATTAGGGCTACAATGGAAAGTAAAAAATATGTGGTTAGAAAAGAGATTCCCTTGACCTGAGTGAGTTCTCAGGCTTCTCTGAGTTACACTCTGTACTCTGAGCAAAATACAGCCTGCCTACCTAACAACGCTCATCGGGTGAGCAAGGGACACCAGGTATCTCTGACTCTTCCTACTGACCACTGGGGACCAGTCACTTGGGGACACAACTAAACGCAAGCTAGAGTTGTGTTTTCAGCTTGTTCTACTTTTTGAAGAATCAGTTTTGTAACTTCACTGTCCATGACGCAGTGATGGAGTGGCACCGTTTAAAGGAATGACAGAGGTGGTGATACTCAGCAGAGCACTTCGCAATTCCTGAGCACGTTTGGGAGGAAGGAGGCGAGGAGGCTGCCAGTATTCTCACTGCCACCTGTCCCCTTGTTCCCCTCTCTTCACTGCACTTGTCCTCTACCCCAACTTGTGCTCACTCCTCAGTCCAATGTAATCCCTACCTCAGTCATCCCAATCACACAGCTCTTGCAAAATGACAGTCTTCAGGCTTCCTGTCTTGGTCTCTCAGAAGCACCTAACATCCTTCCATTGCAAAAGCTACTGCATTTCAGTATCCCCAGTCTTCCTCCCCCTTCTCCCAGGCCCCTGAATATTTTTAGGGTTTGACTTCAGCTGTCTGCTCTCTCCTCCGATCATGAACCACTCAATCTGTCTCCTCCAGTACTTGCTGTAAATAAATGCCATCACCATCTACCCAGGAATAAGCCAGATCTGAGAGGCCTCTTTAAGAAATGTTTCCTCAGCCAGCGCCGCGGCTCACTAGGCTAATCCTCCACCTTGCGGCGCCGGCACACCAGGTTCTAGTCCTGGTCAGGGTGCCGGATTCTGTCCCGGTTGCCCCTCTTCCAGGCCAGCTCTCTGCTGTGGCCAGGGAGTACAGTGGAGGATGGCCCAAGTGCTTGGGCCCTGCACCCTATGAGGAGAGCAGGAGAGGCACTGCTGCAAGCATCAGATCAGCACGGTGTGCTGGTCGCAGCGCACCAGCAGAGCGGACATGGGAGGGATGAACCAACGGCAAAGGAAGACCTTTCTCTCTGTCTCTCTCTCTCACTGTCCACTCTGCCTGTCAAAATAAATAAATAAATAAAAATAAAAAAGAAATGTTTCCTCATCTAAATTCAACCAACTGGCCAGTGCCGAGACTCATTAGGCTAATCCTATTTATTTTCAGAAGGAACAAAGGACTTATATGGTCTGATCAAATTCTTCAGCTCCGACCGGCACCGCAGCTCACTAGGCTAATCCTCCGCCTGCGGCGCCGGCACCCCAGGTTCTAGTCCCAGTTGGGGTGCCAGTTCTGTCCCGGTTGCTCCTCTTCCAGTCCAACTCTCTGCTGTGGCCCAGGAGTACAGTGGAGGATGACCCAAGTGCTTGGGCCTTGCACCCGCATGGGAGACCAGGAGGAAGCACCTGGCTCCTGGCTTTGGATCGGACCAGCGTGCCGACCGTAGCAGTCATTTGGGGGGTGAACCAGGGGAAGGAAGACCTGTCTCTCTGTCTCTCTCTCTGTCATTGTCAAAAAAAAAAAAAAAAAATTCTTCAGCTCCATGAAAGGCTACCCTCCCCCAACTCCCACATTCCAAACTCACCTTTTATGTCCTTTATGTTCTCATCTCAGGGCCTCTGCTCTCTCCACCCCAATTGTCTGCTCATCATTCACATCTCTCCCAGAGGAAGCCAGCCTCTCTAGTTATGGTCCTCACAGTACTGTATGTCCAATTGGGGTAAATAAATCTGTCTTCTCAATCATTTAACATTTCTTTATGTGAAAAACATCTCAAATTCTGCATCCTTTCATTTTCTTGGTCCCAGTCAGAGCTATTTTTTTTAAGGATCTGTTGTTTTTGTTGTTGTTGACAGGCAGAATTAGACAGTGAGAGAGAGAGAGACAGAGAGAGAAGTCTTTCCTCCCCTGGTTCACCCCCCAAATGGCTGCTACAGCTGGCGCGCTGCGCGGATCCAAAGCCAGGAGCCAGGTGCTTCCCCCTGGTCTCCCATGTGGGTGCAGGGCCCAAGCACTTGGGTCATCCTCCACCGCCTTCCCGGGCCACAGCAGAGAGCTGGACTGGAAGAGGGGCAACCGGGACAGAATCCGGTGCCCCAACTGGGACTAGAACCTGGGGTGCTGGCGCCGCAAGGCGGAGGATTAGCCTAGTGAGCCACGGCGCCGGCCCAAAGGATTTATTTTATTTATTCGAAAGAGTTACAGAGAGAGGTAGAGGCAGAGAGAGAGGTCCTTCATCCACTGGTTCACTCCCCAGATGGCCGCAACAGCCAGAACTGAGCCTATCTAGTCAAGAGCCAGGAGCTTCCTCCAGGTCTCCCATGTGGGTGCAGTGGCACAAGGACTTGGGCCATCCTCTGCTGTGTTCCCAGGCGCATTAGCGGGAGCTGAACACTGAGCATCTCAGACTTGAACTGGCGCCCATATGAGATGCTGCTGCAGGCCAGGGTTTTTTTTTTTTAAAGATTTATATATTTATTTGAAAGTCAGAGTTACAGAGAGAGAGAAGAGGCAGAAGGAGAGAGAGGGAGAGGGAGAGGGAGAGGGAGAGGGAGAGGGAGAGGGAGAGGGAGGGAGGGAGAGAGAGAGAGAGAGAGAGAGAGAGAGAGACGTCTTCCGTCTGATGGTTCACTCCCCAATTGGCTGCAATGGCCGGAGCTGCACTGATCCGAAGCCAGAAGCCTGGAGCTTCCTCCAGGTCTCCCACAAGGGTGCAGGGGCCCAAGGACTTGGGCCATCTTTTACTGCTTTCCCAAGCCACAGCAGAGAGTTGGATCAGAAGTGGAGCAGCCAGGTCTTGAACCAACGCCTATATGGGATGCCGGCGCCTCAGGCCAGGGTGTTAACCCATTGTGTCACAGTGCCAGCCCCGCAGGCCCAGGTTTTAACCTGCTGTGCCATAGCGCTGGCCCCCAAATCAGAGCTTCTAATGATACATTTTTGTTGTGAGGTTGTTTGATTAATGTCTTACTTCACTATCACTATAAACTCCATGAGGACAGAGATAATATTTGGTTTAACTTTTTTTTTTTTGACAGGCAGAGTGGACAGTGAGAGAGGTAGAGACAGAGAAAGGTCTTCCTTTACCGTTGGTTCACCTTCCAATGGCCTCTGCGGCTGGCGCACTGTGCTGATCCGAAGCCAGGTGCTTCTCCTGGTCTCTCATGTGGGTGCAGGGCCCAAGCACTTGGGCCATCCTCCACTGCACTCCCGGGCCACAGCAGAGAGCTGGCCTGGAAGAGGGGCAACCGGGACAGAATCCGGCGCCCTGACCGGGACTAGAACCCGGTGTGCCGGCGCCACAGGTGGAGGATTAGCCTATCAAGCTACAGCGCCGGCCCGGTTTAACTTATTTTTAACCATGTAATTTCTCCTGCTTGGTATGCTGTATATTCTCAGTAAATATTTGATGGCTGAGGGGATATTTTAAAAGAAAGCTTCCTTTCTCCCATAGCCTTTCCTTAAATTGCCCTTTGTGTGTGTCATGTGGGAAATTCTTTGCATTTCTTCTCTTTACACTTAAAAATACTACCTTAAATTTCAGGCAAACAAGTAATTTATTTATTTTTTTTGACAGGCAGAGTGGACAGTGAGAGAGAGAGACAGAGAGAAAGGTCTTCCTTTTGCCATTGGTTCACCCTCCAATGGCCGCCATGGCCGGCACGCTGTGGCCGGCGCACCGCGCTGATCCGATGGCAGGAGCCAGGTACTTATCCTGGTCTCCCATGGGGTGCAGGGCCCAAGCACTTGGGCCATCCTCCACTGCACTCCCTGGCCACAGCAGAGAGCTGGCCTGGAAGAGGGGCAACCGGGACAGAATCCGGCGTCCCAACCGGGATTAGAACCCGGTGTGCTGGCGCCGCAAGGTGGAGGATTAGGCTAGTGAGCCGCGGCGCTGGACCAACAAGTACTTTTAAAAGTACACATGACCGATTTTTCTTCTTCAAGCTAAGTAACAGTTTTGATAGAAAAAGATAATGCTGGGGCTGACGCTGTGCATAGTAGGTAAAGCCGCTGCCTGCAGTGCCGGCATCCCATATGGGCACCGGTTCGAGTCCTGGCTGCTCCACTTCTGATCCAGCTCTGTGCTATGGCCTGGGAAAACAATAGAGGATGGCCCAAGTGTTTGGGCCCCTGCACCCATGTCGGAGACCTGGAAGAAGCTACTGGCTCCTGGCTTTGGATAGGCGCAGCTCTGGCCATTGCAGCCATTTGGGGAGTGAACCTGTGGATGGAAGACCTCTCTCTCTGTGTAACTCTTCCAAATAAATAAAAATAAATCTTTTTTTTTTTTTTTTTTTTAAAGACAATTCTGAGACCCAAACAGGAGACCTAGTACTTTGTCTCACTATAGATAGGACTGGAGTTGGGAGAAGAAAAGAGATCTACTCTGTCCAGTAGAGAAAGCATCTCCTGCTGACCATGACGAGAGAGAGGCTGGAGGAACATTTCATGACCTCCTCTGCTCCCTTCTTCCCTGGGGGCTGGACCAAATCACCTGAACCCCCTTTACTCCCCACAAGCCACTGTAGCTCCTGTGCCGAACCCTTGGACACTCTGCTTTCTCTGGATTTCCTGGCTAGATATAGAATAAAAAATTTAAAAATTCCTTTCTTTAGATTTCAGCAGGCTACACTGTTTTAAAAGCTGTAAAATTATAGAAAGTACAGAAAAATTAAAAAGAAAATACAGTGACAACTGACGAGTTTATAGAGTATGGATTTCTTGCTCTGTGATGACTCAAATCAACTCCCATTTTTCTGATTCTAGATTCTAGACTTGGATGTCCGCTCATGGCCAATCCCCTTGTCAATCCCATCTTCTGTCACTACTCACCTTTCTTCTCCAAACACCTTACCTGTTTTCAGTTATATGGCTGGAGATCATTCCATGACTGAAGTAACTTCTAAATGGCTAAAAAGAAATCAACATTGTATATATTAAGGCCACAATGTTTGCAAAACAAACCCAAAACCTCTTATATGTGTATATTACATACACACGCACACACACACACACATGCACACACACTTCAAGAGAGCACGCAGAGTCTGTATGTGTGTGTCTGTGTGTGAGACAAATGTTTTGCAGATTATTATAGGAACATGGAAGGTATATTTGAGGGATAGCAATATTAACGTTGGGGTCAGGTAGCAAACAGGCCAAAGAAAAAGAATGCAAAGTAAAAAGACAAATGGCTGCAAAATGAAAAGAAAAATTCACTTCTTTTCAAATGTACTGTTTTTAACTACTAAAGAAAACCGGAACAACCACTATCAAGTTGCTAACCATGTGGACATTTCTTTTTCTCCCTTTAAAAACAACTTTTCTATATTTCCAATATATATTAGTAATATTAATTTTAATACACTAATTTATAATCAGCAATGAGGAGGAACCCAAGGAACTTAGAAGTATACTGACATAAATTTCCTGGGAAACAAAAGAACTAATTCTCAGCTTTTGGGCACACCATGTTAGGTTAAAAACTAATCAAAATTTAATGTGCAGGAGGATCTAGAGTCCAAAGAGTTCAAAATTTCAAAATGCAATTTTAATCTCCCTCAACAACTATTGTATTTTTTCCATTTTTAAAATAATATATGTTCATTGTAGAACACAATATAAAGAACCTACAATCTCTAAGAACTATTAACGTTTTGATACATTTTCTTCAAAACTTTTTTCTATGGTACAAGCACAGAATATCTAATCATCATTAAACAGTTCTCTACCCTTGGGAATTTACATTGTTATACTAAAGAACAACACTGTAGAGGCTGCTATTGTTGCATAGTGGGGCAAGCTGCTGCCTAAGGCATTCCATGTGAGCACTGCCTTGAGTCCTGGTTACTCCAGTTCTGAATCAGCTCCCTGCTAATGCTCCCTGGGAAGGGAGCAGATGATGGCCCAAGTACTTGGGTCCCTGACACCCACAAATGAAGACCTGAGTAGAGTCCAGTCTCTTGGTTTTGCCTGGCCCAGCCCTGGCCATTGTGGCCATCTGGGGAGTGAATCAATGGATGGAGGAGCGCTCTCTCTGTTTTTCTCTCTCTTTCTCCCCCTTTCTCTGTAACTCTACTTTCAAATAAATAATTTTTTTTAAAAAAGAATAATGCTGGCCGGCACCGCGGCTCACTAGACTAATCCTCCGCCTAGCGGCGCCGGCACACCGGGTTCTAGTCCTGGTCGGGGCGCCGGATTCTGTCCCGGTTGCCCCTCTTCCAGGCCAGCCCTCTGCTGTGGCCCGGGAGTGCAGTGGAGGATGGCCCAGGTGCTTGGGCCCTGCACCCCATGGGAGACCAGGAAAAGCACCTGGCTCCTGGCTCCTGCCATCGGATCAGCGCGGTGCGCCGGCCGCGGCGGCCATTGGAGGGTGAACCAATGGCAAAGGAAGACCTTTCTCTCTGTCTCTCTCTCTCACTGTCCACTCTGCCTGTCAAAAAAAAAAAAGAAAGAAAAAAAAAAAAGAATAATGCTGTAATGAATAACTTATAATAAATTTTGTCTGCAGCTCTGATTAGTTTCTTAAGTCAAATTTGGAAGTGAATGTTGAGTGAAAAGGCAGAACTACACTGCCAAACTGTTTGCAATAAAGTTAGATCCAGTACATTCCCACTTACAATCTGTGAATGTGTCTCAGGGTCTCGTCGTCAATACTGCCTAATGGAACGATTTAAACAGATTTGCCAAGTTGATCAATCAAAAATGGTACTTCCTTCTTGTCTTATTTTACTTCCCTTTGCTTTTTAATTAAGTAGAAAATTTCGGCTATGTTTAGCGGCCATTTAGATTTCCCTTTGTTATGTAACTTTATATTCTCTGGACATTAATCAGTTTGTCTTATTATTATTTATTTATTTTTAAAGTCAGAGTTACAGACAGAGAAGGAGTTACTTCCCAGACGGCTGCAATGGCCAGCACTGGGCCAGGCTGAAGCCAGGAGCCAGGAATTTCATCCAGGTCTCCCATCTGGATGGCAGGGATCCAAAAACATGGACCATCTTCTGCTGCTTTTATTTTTTTCTTTTATTACTTACTGTTATTTGAAAGTCAGAGCTACACAGAGAGATGGAGAGACAGGAGAGAGAGAGAGATATTCCTTCCACTCGTTCACTCCCCAGATGGCCGCAATAGCTGTGGCTGGGCCAGGACAATGCCAGAAGCCAGGAGCTTCATCCAGGTCTCCCACATGGGTGGCAGGGGTCCAGACACTTAGGCCATCTTTCACTGCTTTTCCTAGGCCATTATCAGGGAACTGGATTGGAAGTGGAACAGCCAGGACATGAACCAGTGTGCATATGGGACACCAGCGTTGCAGGTAGTGGCTTTACCTGTTACACCACAATGCTGGCCCCTGATTTGTAAAAGTTTAAAAGAGTAAAATAATAATAAAGTTTATTGGGGCTTCTCACATGAAATGGTTATTGACACATAAATGTATTGGTCATCTCAAGTAATTCTGGTAAGAACCTAAGAAGTTCATGATAGCATGATCCTTTCTCTTGTTGACCAAAACAAAAGTTAAAGAACTTATTCAAGGTCACAGAACTGGTGAACTGAATAGCTGGGATTCAACTGTATAAACATTTGGCTAACAAGAAAATTAGATCTGTATCTCATACCATACACACATAAAAATTTTATATGGATTAGGGATCTAAATGTGAAAAATTAAACCATACAAGTACTAAAGGGTGAATTTCTCTTCAACCTTTGATTAAAAGCCTTTTACTATATAATGTCTCGAAATCCAGAGGCAATAGAAGACATAACATTTACATAAAAATTTCTACATTGCAAAAGGCCTCCATCATAAACAAAGTAATTATAAGCATGGAAGAAATACTGGGAATACATACTAGTGACACATACTAATAGTCCAAATACACACAGAACTCCTAAAAATGGAGGGACAATGATCTCCTAAAGCCTATGCTCTACAGTTCAGTTAATAACATTGCACCAGTATTAAAATGGGAAGGAGAGACAAAAATAAAACATAAAACCAGGAGTGTGCGCTGTGATGCAGTCACTTGTGACATCTGCATCCCACACTGGAGTGCAAGTTCCTCTCCTGGCTCTTCTGCCTTTATTCAGCTTCCTGTTAATGTATCTAAGAGACAACAGATGATGATCCAGGTATGTGGGTCCCTGCTATCAACACAGGAGACTTGCATGGAGTTTCTTGCTCCTGGCTTCAGCCTGGCCCAAGTTCTAGTTGTTGAGCGAATTGCTTGAGAAGTTAACTTGGGGACAGAAAAAGATCTGTTTCTCCATGCCATCAAATAAAATTTTTTAAATAAATAAAAATTTTTAAAAAGAAAATTTAAAATACATTTTTAAAAATAATGAAAAAATAAAGATTGTTTTTCCAGATATACAAAAGCAGAAAGAATTAATCACCTGAAAAATTTCACTACAAAAAAAAAATTTTTTTTTTGACAAAGTGGACAGTGAGAGAGAGAGAGACAGAGAGAGAGAGACAGAGAGAAAGGTCTTCCTTTGCTGTTGGTTCACCCTCCAATGGCCACCGCGGCCGGCGCACCGCGCTGATCCGAAGGTAGGAGCCAGGTGCCTCTCCTGGTCTCCCATGGGGTGCAGGGCCCAAGTACTTGGGCCATCTCCACTGCACTCCCGGGCCACAGCAGAGAGCTGGCCTGGAAGAGGGGCAACTGGGACAGAATCTGGCGCCCCGACCGGGACTAGAACACGGTGTGCCGGTGCTGCTAGGTGGAGGATTAGCCTGTTGAGCCACGGCGCTGGCCGCTACAAAAAAATATTAAGAGGGGCAGGTGCTGTGGTGCAGCTGCTTAAACTGCTTCCACAGTGCTGGCATGCCATATGGGCTCCAGGTTGAGTTCTGGATGCTCCACTTCTGATCCAGCTCTCTGCCTTGGCCTGGGAAAGCAGTGGAAGATGGCCCAAGTGCTTGGGCCCCTGCAGCCACGTGGGAGATCCAGAAGAACCTCCTGGCTTCTGGTTTCAGATCAGCTCAGCTCCAGCCGTTGCAGCCATTTGCAGAATGAACCAGCAGATGGAACACCTCTCTCTCTGCCTCTGCCTCTCTGTAACTCTGCCTTTCAAATAAATAAGTCTTTAAAAAATGTTGAATATTTAAACAAAAATAATAGCAATATATTGATATATTGGGAAATATATAACATATGTAAAAGATCAACTCCTGCTTCATGATCAGACAGAGGGCTTGTACTAGGCCATGGTGGTACACAGGAGAACTGAGGACTAAACAACGCAGGTCCAACATAGCTCTTCTGGCTAAGCAGTTTCGGGGACTGCCTTGTGCCCCAGTTCCGAATCTTGATTGTGCAGTTTACTCACAGAGCATGTCTCAGCCTGAATTGGTAAACGCTTACCGCTGTTGTTGTGTACAGAAACAGCCTGGCATTTATTATCTGGAGGTTCAATTGACAAAGGGATCACTCACATTTGGAGAATTATTCTTAGGCTTATTACCTAGCACCCAGCAGAATTCCTGGCTCACGGAAGCACCATCACACTGCCAAGTGCAAGGCTCTCATGGGAAAACAGTTCTAGCACAGGGAGAAGGCAAGGGGATTTCTTGTAACGCAAGTTAAGGAAATGATAAATTAGGATTGGCATTGTTGTATCTTGAAAAAAAATTTTAGTGAAAATATAGAAAAATAATTAAGCAACTCCTTTCTCTTCTCTTTCACAGCATCACATACCTCGCCAGCCTGAGATTCTGAAAGTTCCAGCAGGAAAGGAATTTCTGTGTCAAAGTTAGCAAAGAAGCTGGTCCACTGATGTTCAAAAGCTACCAAATCCTAGGAAGAAATGAAAAAGACAGTGTGTTTGTTCATAGAAAGAAACCAAAATCACAAAACTATGACTGACCAGAGATACCAGACCATTTATGTATATTGCTTTTAAGGTAGCAGCAAACTGCTGAAACACAGTATGAGATTCAGACAGATGAATCTCAAAAACATCACGCTGGGGCCAGCACTGTGATGTAGCGGGTAAAGCTGCTGCCTGCAGTGCTGGCATCCCATATGGGCACCGATTCAGGTCCCGGCTGCTCCACTTTCAATCTAGCTCTCTGCTATGGCCTGGGAAAGCAGTGGAAGATGGCCCAAGTGTTTGGGCCCCTGCATCCATGTGGGAAACCCAGAAGAAGCTCCCGGTCCCTGGTTTCAGATCAGCCCAGCTCTGGCCATTGCAGCCATCTGGAAAGTGAACCAGCAGATGGAAGACCTCTCTCTCCCTCTCTCTCTGCCTTTCAAATAAATAAATAAATAAATCTTAAACAAAATCAACTTCATACCAAGTGAAAGAAGCTAGATGTAAAAGACCAGCTGGTATGTGATTATTTACATGAAATATGCAGAAAAGACAAATCTGTGGAGACAGCCTAAGCTGGGGGTGGGTGTAGAGACTGACTACAAGTGGGTTTAAAGGAACTTTTTGGGTTTGATGAAAATGTTCGAAAATTCAATTATGGTAATGGTTGCACATCTCTGTGAATTTATTAAGAATCATTGAATCACACACTTAAAATGTGTGAATTTATGGTATGTGTTATACTCTAAAAAGCTCTTTTTAAAAAGGACAGTAATGACCCTCAAGAGCCTTAATTTAGTTCTCCAACCCATGTAGGAGGGAGGAACTTGTGCAAAAAGAACACACCATGAAGCTTTGTTCAGGACAACTGACTTGACCTTAGAAGTTCCGGGGGCCGGGGTTGGCACCGAACCCTCTCCTTTTTCAATCCCTCTTCCCAGTGGTCACACAAGTACTGAGAACTCTGCTCACGACCCCGCTGACTCTCTTAAGCATGCAACCTCTACACCTACCTCAAACCAGACTGCTTCTCAGCCTTCTCTCTGAACTCTTTCCTAATCCCAGCCGAAACACACACTGCTTTCTGCTACTAGCTTTTAACTTATCATTAGTTAATTTTAAAAAACCCAATCAGCTGGGGCTGGCGCCGCGGCTCACTTGGTTAATCCTCCACCTGTGGCGCCAGCATCCCATATGGGCGCCGGGTTCTAGTCCCGGTTGCTCCTCTTCCAGGCCAGCTCTCTGCTCTAGCCCGGGGAAGGCAGTGGAGGATGGCCCAAGTGCTTGGGCCCTGCACCCGCTTGGGAGACCAGGAGGAAGCACCCGGCTCCTAGCTTCGGATCAGCGCAGCTCCAGCCGTTGCGGCCAATTGGAGAGTGAACCAACGGAAGGAAGACCTCTCTCTCTCTGCCTTTCTTCTCTCTGTGTAACTCTGACTTTCAAATAAATAAAAAATCTTAAAAAAAAAAAAAAACCCAAACAGCTATGATTTAATTGTTTAAGATACTCAAGTAATTTTTTGTCCTTATTTTGAAGATGCTGGTAATCTGTACTCAAATTTGAAAGTCATTTTCACTGTCCAAATTACTCAGCATGACAGTTCCTATGTTGGATAACAAGGCCCTGCTCAAAGCAGGCATTTTGCTTGCCTCACCAAAACATACTGGCGGGCTCTATTTCCTCTACTTCTCTTTCCCAGTCGGGGATGTATAAGTACTCAGATCTGTAGGCTCTGTGCTAGTTATGCACTGACTGTCTTCTGGCCCTAGGCATGAGGCACAGAAGACCGCTGCTGGGAATATTTGGTGTAAACAATATTCCCACTAACAGCTTCTCTACTTGCTGCTCAGATTATCTATCTATGGACCTGCCTTTAGGTAAGTGTGTGCATATATTTACCTATATACACATATTTACATGCATATTATTTATAGTATACATTATGCACAAATGCATAACTATTTTTCTTTCTTTCTTTTTTTTTTCGACAGGCAGAGTGGACAGTGAGAGAGAGAGAGACAGGTCTTCCTTTTCCATTGGTTCACTCCCCAATGGCCTCTGTGGCCGGCACGCTGCAGCCGGTGCACCACACCAATCCAAAGCCAGGAGCCAGGTGCTTCTTAAAGTCTCCCATGCGGGTGCAGGGCCCAAGGACTTGGTCCATCCTCCACTGTACTCCTGGGCCACAGCAGAGAGCTGGACTGGAAGAGGGGCAACTGGGACAGAACCGGTGCTGCAGGCAGAGGATTTGCCTAGTGAGCCATGGCGCCGGCAGGATGTGGGTATCTTAAGCAGTACTTTAACTGCTTCACAAAACACTCTCCTCTAAATTTATCTTTTAATTCCATTTTTCCACAAACTCTTTGAAGTTCCCTTGTATACATATATACAATCAAGTGCCACATAATTATGTTTCAGTCATGTTCACACGAAGACAAAATTGCCTAACAATGCATTTCTCAGGATGTATCCTAGTGGTTAAGTAATAGATAACTGTATATACACACACATATGGTAGGGGGAAGAATTTCCTAGCCCTCTCCACTGAGGAGATCTAGAAACAATAATCAAAAAGGTCTGGGATAGGACATGCACAAGATAAGCCTGGAATATCTTACCACAGTAGTTGGCAAGGAAATTACCTTACCATAGTATTTGGCAGACACTATCAGCATTGTGCTAAAAGGATTTGTGAAATGGGCTGTGGCCTGTGGTGTGGAAGGTGAAGCCTCTTCCTGCAATGCCAGTATCCCATCCCATATGGGTACCAGTTTGAGTCCCAGCTGCTCCACTTCCTAATCAGCTTCTTGCTAATGCTCCTGGGAAAGCAGCAAATGACCCCTAAGCCCTTGGACCCCTGCACCCACATGTGAGACCAGGAAGAAGCTCCTGGCTTTGGATCAGCCCAGTTCTGGCCATTGTGGCCACTTGGGGAGTGAATCAGTGGATTAAAGATCTCATAGGGGCTGGCGCAGTGGCACAGCGGGTTAACACTCAGGCCTGAAACACCGGCATCCCATATGGGCGCCAATTTGAGACCCGGCTGCTCCACTTCCAATCCAGCTCTCTGCTATGGTCTGGGAAAGCAGTGGAAGATGGCCCAAGTCCTTGGGCCCCTGCACTCACGTAGAGGGTAAAGCTCCTGGCTCTGGATCAGTGCAGCTCTAGCTGTTGCGACCAATTGGGATGTGAACCAACGGATGGAAGACCTCTCTCTCTCTCTCTCTGCCTCTCCTCTGTCTGTGTAACTCTGCCTTTCAAATAAATAAATAAATCTTAAAAAAAAAGGATTTGTGAACCAAATTGAAGGCTGCTCACTATCCAAACATGGAATAACGTGAGCATCATGAAAGATGATAACTGCAGTGGATATAAACACATCAAATATGTGTTAATGCCAGGAGTTCAAATATATATATTAAACTGGTTACTTCTACGAAATGGTTAAGAATCAACCTTTTTTTTTTTTTTTTTAAGATTTATTTATTTATTTGAAAGTCAGAGTTACACAGAGAGAGATGGAGAAGCAGAAAGAGAGGTCTTCCATCCGCTGCTTCACTCCCCAATTGGCCACAATGGTCAGTGCTGTGCCTTTTGGAAGCCAAGAGCCAGGAGCTTATTTTGGGTCTCTCACGTGGCTGCAGGGGCCCAAGCACTAGGGCCATCTTGTGCTGCTTTCCCAGGCCATATCAGAGAGCTGGATTGGAAGTGGAGCAGCCGGGACTCAAACTGGAGACCATATGGGATGCTGCACTGCAGGCGGCGGCTTTACCCACTATGCCACAGCACTGGCCCCAAGAACCAACCTTATTTTGAATACTAGTGAGTAAAAGCAGGAGTTCAAGTGTTTATTCTGCTTTTCATACACAAACTTTACCATTATATAACCAAACAGCAAGTTGACTATTTCTCTTTAGAAAAGTAATATAAATGAGCAGGCATTATAGAAATGGAATATCACCATTATGCAATGGTGAATTAATGATCCAATTACGGAATTAAAGATCTTAGGATTGTACATCAATGACTGTTCACAAAACAAAAAGAAAATGAATTGGGTGTTATGTGTTTCTTGATGGAGAACACAACAGCCTCCAGGAAGAAGTATGCCTCTACAAAAATCAATCCTGAAATTAAACTTCTAGATGCAATTGCTAGTAATCACAAAATACTGAAGACTAAGGGAAATATGAACTACATCATGGGAATGCAATGAACAAAATCCCAACTGATGTCAACAATAAGGCCAATTATTTGGTTTCTTCAACAGACAGCAGGAGAGGCAGTGAAGAGATGGAGGGAGAACCTACAGAATAAAAAAACCTAAAACACCCATGCATACAGGCAGGCAAAGCTAAACTATGTGGTAATGGAAACACAACTGGCTGATAAAATTGCAAAGAAAAGTAAGCAGGAGGTTACCAAAGAATTCATGTTATTCTTGTGGGTGGGCAAGGAGGTGATGATAGGTTTGGCAGAAAGTACTCAGAGTGCTTCTGAGGTGGCTACTGAGATTCTGTTGCTTTGCTTTAAAATAATTCATTAGGTTTCACATAGTCTTAGCTGTTTTCTGAGCCCACATTGTTTTAATAATAAGTTTTTAAAAGCTAGTGCAGGGGCCTGAGTTGTGGTACAGCGGGTTAACCTGCCACTTATGATGCTGGCATCCTATCGGAGGTCAGGTTCAAGTCCCAGTTACTCGGCCTCCAGTGCAGCTTCCTGCTAATGCACGTGAGAAGGCAAGCAGATGGTGGCCCAAACGTGGACCCCAGCCACCCATGTGGAAGACCCGGATGGAGTTCTGGCTCATGGCTTCAACCTGGACCAGTCCTGGCTATTGTGGCCATCGGGGGAGTGAACCAGGGGATGGAATAGCTCTTTTTCTTTCAAATAAACAAATCTTTAAAATAAAAAACTAAGCAAATGTAATATTTATTCATTAGAGAAAACTCAGAAAATATAGAATACAATCATTGTTAACATT